TGACCTGAAGTGAATATATCTGCACTTAGTGTTGGTGCTGGTGAATTAGATAAAAGTCCTAAATGAACTTTTTTAATTAGCTTTTTAATTTGTTTTAATTGTATTGCCAAGGTACAAAAAGCCAGGCATTAAAGTCAGATATATGCATTTTCATTTAATACAAATAAACTAATTTCATTTCATTAAAACTTAAAAAGTCTATGTTCAATGTCTCCACCTCACTTAAACATAAAGAATATACATACATTGTTATATGATATTGTGTTGACTAGCAAGTTAAAGTACTGCCAAATGTGAATAATACACTGTGTCGTTTAAAGCCTTGCATACTCTCTGATCAGAATTATTGTCTCAGATTAAGCAGCCAGTAAAACACCAAACTGCTTTACGACCGACCCAGCTAAAAGAGCTGCATGTTTAACTCCTTCAGCAGCTACCTAGGAGGCAAACCTTTTTTCCTGCTCAGTTTACTAATGATAAAATTGCCCACAATCTGCTCAAAGGGAGCCTTTGTTGCAAGGCAGTGATCCCAGAGGTCTCAGCATCATCTATAGCATGGAGGTAAGGGCAAGTGTTGTGTACAGTTTGAAAACTGCAAAGAGATGCGCTCTATTTAACAAAACAAATAGTTCCTATAACAATGAAAGATGGATTCGAAAAACAAAAAAAGGGCGAAAAAACCAAAATACAATCGTGTCATTAAACTGAACATTGATGTAACAACAAATGGTATTGGAAAAGATTGCTCATCAAATGGATGAAATAGTCACAAAGATAGTAAAAGATCAAGATGTTTAGTCGCCATACATTTAGACCAAGCTGGATAACCTTAAAGCACGTATGCCAAGGAGAAACCAATCTCCTGGAGGCTTTCAAATGCAGCCAGTGTTTCCCGACAGTATTACTTCTGGGAAAGGTGACAGATACACTGAAGCTGAACCTTTCAACAGCACTATCTTATGCAAGGGCTCTTCTTACATTCTGTAAAGAACGTCTTTGTAACTTTTCCTTAATCCTCAAATATCTTCATCCTGACAACTCACAATTTTGCAAGTCAATTAATATTAACGAAGGTAAGAGCCAAGGTGAACTGTGCAAAACTATTCTTAATAGTGTTTAGCCTGAGTCAGATTATGAGCTTTTTTGGGGTGTTTTGTGTAATTGAATGTTTTCCTTTTCCTTCTTTTTAGCCTTGTCTTTCCTAATTAGCAACTTAAACCCACAGCAGGAGAGAGCACCCCACTATCCATGCAGGAAGACAAGGAAGCCTTACTATTGCCCAACAAAGAAGAGTAGTAGAGGAATTTTCATTAGAATGAAGCCCCCCATACGCCTTAAACCCCACTGTGAAATTACAATGGCACAAAAGAGGTGCCAGCAGGGATGCAAACTCATAACTGGAAGTGTCACCCTAAAAAAGTACTCAACAGTGGTGCCTACTTCCTGCGATAAGGTGAAACAAAAGTTGAACATAAGCTCCCTTGTCATGGCCACCCATTAAGAAAACACCTGTCCACACTACCATGTCTTTCTTGTGATGTGGGGCGCCTGAAGGATGTCTCAAAGCTTTAATCAATACCGCCTTGTGTTGGTGCAGGCCCCTGCACTCACTGAATGCGTGTGGAGAAAAGTGGAGAAAACGGGCTGCTGGCAGCATGAAACGCTGGACCCATCCATGCTGTCAGAGCGGAGTGCTGCTGCCTATTTCATATGGAAATCAATGCAGCAGAATGCAGTCAATTGCCAAACAAGTGACTTTGGCTCTCACTGCTACACACAAAACATTGAAAAACCGAGGGGCTTTGGCAGTGGCATGGGAGCAAGGGGGAGGAATAAATAGAGTGTGGACTAAAGGCTTGGTGTGGTTGAAATTGAGGAAAACCCAACATAGTTTTTGGTACGTGCCCTAACAAAAGCATGAGTGAAAAGAATCATAAATGAAGCTGTCACAATGCGATGAGACAGCCACAGGACAACTTATTTCTCCTGTGTACAGTGAGTCACCGCTCACCGTTTATCCTCAGCGTCTGTAACCTAGACTGAGGGGGCTGCTGGAAAGGAAAGGATTTGCTCTCAATTTGTGCCAACTGTGTCCCCGTTTCTAATGCAGTGTAACTGTTGCACAAGGATTTAGGCTCCTATACCGGATAGAAGCCGGCATGCGTGAGGTTTAACATGCACGTGCAGGCAAAGTATTTGAGTCTTTAAAAATGTTATCACAACAGAATACTTTTTTACAGTCAATACAGACCAAACGGAAGGATAGGCATGATCGAATCAAGGCACATTAACCCCGGTGACATCTGACCAGAATAATAGCTGACGATTGCATTAACAATCTGTTATTCTGTTTCACATTCCTCTTATGAAGTAAACAAAACGTAATAACTAACACCATTAAAGGTCTTACTTTGCACTTACTATGTTATTCGGAGCTCAGCGGCAAATTATTTACAGAGAAAAACAACTTAATGTAGTGTCAAAATATGTGTGAAACAGCAAAAATGGCAAAAGATGCAAGCAGCACCGTGAAACCCCCTCAAAATGTCACATTAGCTATTAATGCCTGGATAGACTGGATAATGTGTTACAAAAGGTCATGGAATAACAAGTATCAAACTAAAAGGTTTTTATGGAGGATCAAACAGGGTTTAGAGAATGTATCCAGAAGTGACCATTCATTCAGTCCCACACCACCAGGAGGAACTTGATAACATGGAATGGTTATGAAACTAGGTCAAAAATAAATCCCTGAGAATTTTATAAAAAACTGTCTACATCACTATTTGCTAATCACAAAAATCCAAGCTAATGATCACTGTGAACATGCTGACAAAGTTTACTGAGAGTCTGTGGTTTTAGTCAAGTGGTCATTTTGTACACCTCAGTAGTCATCTGCAAATGTTAGCTACAAGTACTGTGACTGCTGTAATTCAAAGGAAATGCCAGCTGAATTTTCTAAATGCTACAGTCTCCCTGTCAACACTGTTATATTGTCTTTTTGGCATAGACAGTCCAGCTTTTCCTTCTTTTCTTTCATGTTTGTGTGTCTGTTAGACAGTGAGGAATTTGGTCCAGGATATTTTATATAAATATATATAAGAAAGCTGTAGCCATGACCTTTCTCTTGGTACAGTTTTTACTCAACTCCACACTTCTCCTTAGGTAGAAATGGGTTCATTCTGCAGCAGCTGCAGTGTAATTAGTTGCTTGATTCACACTAAGGAGCTTACATACTAAGGGTTGAGCAAAAAGAAAGCAGATTACAATTTGAGAAGTAGGCTCTAGCTGTGCTACAAACGCAGGAGACAAACACAAGACTGTCATGTATAAAGAGCAGTATCTGAGTGGTTTTCTCCTGTCTGCTGTCTTACATTAGGAAATAAAGTTGCTCCTGAAGCTAGAATCAAGTTTTGAATTAGTGGTTCGCAGCGTCAAATCTGCTCCACTGAATGAGATTTGTACCAGTAGCTCTCAGTCCTCACAGATTGTCTGTAAGTCACATGCTCTTTTCTGTTACCTAGCAACAGTAAAGCTCAGGCAAAAGTTCCTCAAGAGAACTTCCAATCTGTCTGAGGAAGGCTTTGTGCTCAACCTTTAAAGTAATACTATGTGCTACAACGTTTAGCTCCAGAGCCAGAAAAACATTACTTAGTGGCCACGACACAATTACTGGAGGAGATTGTGTAATTAATGTAACGGTGGGTTTATTAACAAGGTTGTTCCTTTGTATTTAATTCATTTAACCTGTTTGAATTACCATTAGGTACTCAATATATTGCTTTATCCTACAAATAAATAAATACATAGGCTAATCATTATCAATCAGCAACACTTCAATTCCCCTGCACTGTTTTGTTTTGATGTGCAACAAGTGCACAAGTGAATAGCACAACAACTCAGCAGGTACTCAATGAATCATTCAGCTGACAGCCTGTGTGAACCAAAGAAACGTGGAAGCAAAATCCCACTACTCACCTTCAGAGTGGCACCATCTCACAGAGCATATGAAGACGAGGAAGAGTTGTAGCAGCAGTGCTCTCCACATTCTGGCTGGTCCGTCCAGCTCCACTCTGCAGATGGAGGAGCTGCAGGGACTGGGGCTGGGATGCTGGTGCTTTCTTCTGTCTGTCTTTCTTGGCCCGCTAGTTGATGAAAAGGGGCGTGCACAAAGGCCCGGGACAGCCCAGCCGCTCCCCCCAAGCCTGCCTCGGCCCTCCGGATAAATCCCTCTGGCCCTGGAATCTGCATAATACCATGCAGCCAGGTCCGACTTGTCTCGAGCATAGTGCCAGTGATTTTCACTCACACGGGGCTATATCCACGCTGTTTACTTGCCCCGCACTTGGGAGGTTGCACACGGTCACTTGTAAAGAAAAATAATGATGGGAGTTAAACAAATACAAACTAACGAATGAAAAGAGTTACATTAGGTTGCCCTGAATCCTAAAAGGCCAAGACGGGTCACGTAATCCTAAAATCTCTGGTTCGGGTCCAACCAAGGAACCGTGTTGCATTCTGACCAGATTCTGACACACAGTCACACACATAAAGATTGATAGGCCTACAAGAAGATTGCAAGTGATTGTAAAGAGTGTAACTTATATTACAAAAATGCCTCAATTTGACATACATTCATTTTCGAGTACAATCGGTAAACCTCAGGTCCCGTAGGAAAATAAATGCTTCCCCAAGTGACAAAAATAAACAATTAGCGTAAGAAGTTAAATCAACAGCAGGCAGCGACATATCTGAGAATGAGAAGTGACTCGCAAATACGGTAGCTTGGCAAACTAAAAACGTAACAAGGTGCAATTGAGTTGAACAGTTTTATAGCATAATAAAATACTCGTTCTTTTACAGTGTTTGGTTCTTCCAGAGCCATACCTTCAGCGGCTAATCAAAGGCCCAACAGCTCCACCTTGCGGCCGGACAGCGGAACAGCAGCGCTTCATCTGTTGCTAAATAACAGGCAGCTCGGCTAAAAGAAGTGTTGCCATTAGCGACCGAGCAACTGAAAGTTGGAGAAACTTGAGGCAAAATGAAAACTAAGTTGTTGTCAATGTAAAACCGGGATTTGCTCAACATGACAACTCCACAAAGAAATGCAGACAACTTCATGAAGTTGGAGGGCAACACGACGGAGGTATGACAAGGTGTTTGACGGCAACGACAAATCTGCGGAGTCCTCCGTTGGTGTCTCTACTCTAGAACTAGCTTAACTGTTACTAGCTAATTTAGCTAGCTAACTCTCTAGTTAGCCGTCTCCTGATTTCACTTTGTTTTCGCAACATTGCAGGAAAAACTTTGTACTCCACTTGCAAGACATTTAATTGACAAAAACACCTACCCAAACTAAAACAGTAAAGAAACGTTTTCAAATCCAATTCGACCACTTACGTGTAAAGGCAATTCTAACGTTATAACAATCCAGTGAGCTTTAAACAGGTGGAAGCAGTACAGCAATGAATCACTTCGCTAAACGTAACAATACTACAGATTAAAAATACAATTACAAGTACTGCATTCAAAATAGTTCTCAAGTAGAAGTAAACATTTATTAGAATCAAAATATATTTAAAGTAGGCCTACCAAAAATCATTATGCAGAATGGCACATTTAAGCACAATATATATTTTAAGTAAATGTAAAGTTACATTCCACCACTGGGTATACAACTATATCATTGACAGGAACTATTCTGCCCCTGAGTTATTTAATCTTTTCTTCCTGGTTGCATTTAACTGATGTTATTTACTTGAATTATTATATGATATGCATATGTCCAATTTTTATTCATGTTATATATTTTATTCCTTCCAATAAAAGTGATGACTATTTGACCTATCAAATATACTAGCTTATTGTTGGTGTACTTTATGTGCTGTTGTTCAAAAACACAGCATACCTTTACTGAGAAGATGCCATAAGCACCTGCGTAACATGTTATAACACAGGGCTTTTCCCTTATTCCAGCATATGGACGGTATTCAGAAGTCACTGGAGAGACTTCGAAGCTTTTCTGTGGAGGATGCCACAGAGACAGGGCTGCTGCGGTCCCGGATAGACGAACAGTCAGGTCTGATCTGCATGCTGAAACAGAGAGCAGATGAAGTGCTTCTTCGATGTCTAGCCCTGCAAAAAATCAATACGGAGTCGGAGGAACAAGTAGCACAATACCAGAAAGAACTTGACAGTGAAAGAAAGAAAGCTGAGCTCATAGAGAAAAGATTTATGGATTTAGCCTCAAACAATCAAGCAATAATTGCTTTCATGGACGAGCACAAACATCAAAATGTTCAGTTAAAGCTGGAAAACCAACAACTGCAGTCGGAAAACAAAACACTTTTCTCCAAAAAACTACAAGATAAAGAAGTGTTTGTTAAAAAACTGATGCAAGAAATCAAACAGCTGACAGAAAAATATGAAAAAAGGGAAAAAGAATATAGGTAAGAACTATTATCCGTTAATTATTAATACTGCTCCAAGGTTGATCAACAAAAAATGAATAAACAGCATTTTGATCATCTGAGTGATTAATCTGTCCAATCTGTCAAACATTTCTTGTTTGAAGCTTTTAAAATGTGCGTTTTTCCCCATTTTTTGTTATTCTAAATAACATTTTCTCCAATATCAATCTTTCAGTGCGGAATTAGCTGGATGCAAGTCTAAGATCCTGGAACAAACAACGCAGCATGAAAACAAGGAGGCATCCCTACTTAATCAATTGCATGATTCTCAGCAACAACAAAGAGATGCTGTAGAAATGTGCAACGGTGGGTAGAAATTGTGTATCACTCTCTGAAGTGCTTCAAAGCACAAGCACTTGTAAACGCGTGACCTTCTCTCCTCAACCAGACCTTCAGCAGAAGCTACAAAAAGCAGAAGAAGAGCATGCTTTGAAGGAAAGCAACATGAGAGAAAGCATAACAAGCCTCACCAAAGAGAAAGACAAACTACTCTACTTGTCTATGGAAAGGGGGAAAGTAATTCAGGTGATTAAAAATAGTATTTGTTCTCATTAATCAAAGCTCTGCACAGACCAACCAATAACTTTGCTCTTGAGTACAGGAGAAACAAGAGGAAATCAAGCAGCTGGAGACTAAATGTAAAGAGGAGAAAAAAGCCTGGTCCAAAGCAGAGCACAGGTAAATACATGGTGTGTCAACAGTACACAACTGCTTGAAGAACCTGAATGATAACAATTATTGTCCCTGCCTACATTTGTCCCTGCCAGATTTGAAAAGGAAGCTGAAGCTGTTAATGCAGATGTTAAAGTGAAGTCTCTCCAGTGTGCACTTGATGAATCCATAAAATCAAATTGGAAGCAGAGAAAGGTTTGTTTGAATCTGCAATATTGAAAAGCGATTCAAAGTCAGGTGCTTGTATATCGCTGAAAAATACTAAACACCATTTCCATAACTTTACAGGATTTTGAAGCCTTCAAAGAACACAGCACCAACCTCCTTATGCAAGAAAGGGAGTTGAATAAGAAGCTTCGCCATATGATGGGATAACATTTAGCCTTACACAAGTGTTCTTACCAATGTTTGCATTCAAACAAATAATTTGACAAAAATAGTTTGCTGCTTCACAGTTCCAACAACAAAAAAGGACAAAATGTAACACATTCAAATCACAATACAATGTTGAATCAGTTCTTAACATGAGAATACTCCTCTGCCAGTTTTTCAGCCTTTTCAATGACTTTTCCAAAACAATCAAATGTCCATTAAATGAATTTGAAATCTCGAAATATTGGTGCAGCAAGCAGAATTGTACCTACTTGGATGCTCTGGAAGCCTTTGATTGTATTATGGAGAGGCACCAGGTTCGCCATTTGGCCTTCTGCTACCCAGTGGGGCTGCAACAAAAAAAAGCTACAGTAGATCTTACGAACGTGAACTACGGTCAGCTTATCTTCCTCTGATAATTCATCCACACCAAAAAAAACACTGATGTCCTGCATGAATTGTAGTCCTAAAAACAAGAACAATTCAGTAAGATAATGCTTTAGTTAGGTTCTAGCATTGCAGTTATTGTTGACATCCATTCAACATGTCTTAGTATCCACGTCAAGGCTTGCCTGAAGAATCTTCTGCATGCCACGGGCAGCATTGTAGTGTTCATCCAAAACAATATTGGCGTCCATAATTAGGGAGGTGGAATCCAAAGGGTCCACAGCAGTTGTTGGCGTTTGGGGGCCCATAGGGGTCCTGAAGGCGGAGGTCCAGAACCTTATGAACGCAAATCAGACCCTCCGTTCCATCTATGGCGGTCATTCTGAATGTGTTTTCACCTTGAAAAAAACATGATGAGAAGCAGTAAAGACTTTGTAGACATTTAAGCCCTAAGTGGCAAGTGAGAAGAAAAAAACAGTGACCCATTATATGTCTGATTTGAACCTCTCTTATGTGTTAATTACTAAATAAGGGAAAACATTTCAACACTTTCAAAATAATATTTCAAATTGACATTGTATTTTATTAAAAGGTAGGTTTAAAAAAAAGAAAAAAGTTTTGTTGGTATTATTTTCATTTTTTCCCTAACAGCAGTTCATCACTTATTAAAATATACATCTGATTAATAAAGGAAGATGTGACAATAACATTACATAACTTGCAAACAGCCTACCTTGAGTTTAGGGTTCATGGAGAAATTAAAACAACACGAAGAAAACATGAACGCTTAAGTCAGATTTGTAACATGGGTTAATGGTGCAATTCAGTCCTCTTGTGGTCGAAAAGAGTATGGATCACCACTTTATTTTCTTCTTGCCTTTCAGAAATATGACCAAATAGCTGCTGAAATTAAATATACATTTGTAGTGATCTCGGTGACTGGAGACTCTATAGTAATTTCGACTGAGTCACTTAATCGCGTTTAAAGAAAAGCCAAAGTAAGTGTTGATGGTGACAGTCGGTCCATGTTTAAGAAGTGTTTTCCAGCACTCGAAGAAACAGCCGTATGTAATGTATCCTTCTGATTGTCTATTTAAAGTTGATCCCAAGCTTAAGAGTCTGCAGAGTCCCGTGGCAGCACCGTCCCACAGCACCCAATTTAGTTAAGGTGGCTAGAGGTAAATATATAGAGCTCTATCAGCGTGATCGATGCTAAAAGGCTCAATTTAAAGGAGAGGTGTCATGGCCATTTCCACTGATCATAATTCCATTGTTGAGGTATACTAAAATAGATTTATACTGTGCATTTTTCCAAACTCACATTGGTTTCTCATACAGCATCTCTGTAAACTACTTGTATTCACTGAATTTCACTCTCTGCCTTTAACGGCTCGTTGTAGCTCCCAAAGCTCCAGCCCCCACCCTCCCTGTGAGCACAGTGTGCTCTGATTGGTCGGGACGTTGTGAATCGCGCTGAGCTCCGTGGAGGTGTTGTTTCCTTGTTTAGGATACATAGCGAAACACAGCCAAACTCATCCTGAGCACACACAAACTCACATCCGAAGTAAAAACAATAAGTGTGGCTTGATATTGAGTAAGAAAAAGGTTGATAAACGCTGTGAGAATGGGTCTGCAGAGAGAATTTCGCCGCCATCCCAACTGTCTGTTATCAGCCTGCAGCCAGGGAGGAGAAATCAGCTGAGCTGAGCTGCCTGCTCCCTGCACACAGATGTGTGTGTGAGGAAGTCCGTGGATTGGTCAATTTGGACCAATCAGCGGGGGCTTAACGTAACGGCTCCGCGGACGTAACGTAACGGCTCCACGGATTGGTCCATTTCGTTCCGGGTACGGCTTGACATCATGCCGTCCCGGAAGAATCAAATGGACAATGACGTATCTCCAACGAGGCGTTTTGGGGAGGTATTTTCTGTGTTAGAGTTTTACTCGCTATAGGGTGTACTTTGAGGGTTTTGACTCTGCACACCGTTTACATGCATAAAAACCTTCATAACACACAAGTGGACGGGTAATAACCGGAAAAGCATGACACCTCTCCTTTAAACGACTCTCTGAGCATGCGCAGTCCATCTTGCTCTTGCCATCCCCTCAATTACCGGAAGAGGACGGCACAACCCCGTCTGCAGCATGGATGTATAATAAGAACTGCAGTTGTGTTTATCTGTGTGATAAGTAGTGTACCCTTGCAGTTTATGGTAAGTATTTAAGTGCTAACTAAAACCATGCCAGTGTCTTAAAATCCGTGGTGGATACGTTTTCAGATGTTGTACTTAAAGGTAGGGTAGGTAAGTTTGAGAAACCGGCTCGAGATACACTTTTTGTTATATTCCCTGGAATGCTCTTAACATCCTGATAGCAATGAATATCTTAAGTGCTTTGACAAAAAATCCATAAAAATATTTCATCTGTGGAAGCCGTAGTACTGTAAAAAGTACGGCCTACCTGCCTGTCAGCCTTCCATCTGTGCACAAACTTATCTCGTGCCCTCATTGGTCATGTGCGTGTTTGTGTGTGTTGGAGGAGGGGCTCTATAAGGAAGTGGCAGATTTTCTCCGGTTGTGTATTTTCAAATTCTAGCGATCTCGAGCCGGTTTCTCAAACTTACCTACCCTACCTTTAAGTAAATATATATCACACTCTGAAAACACTCCACTTCACATAAACGCCCTCCATTTGAATCATTACTCAAGTAAAAGTAGTCCTATGTAAGTAACCTATTAGCATAAAGTATCAGCAGAGTTTAAGTAGTCATTGTCCAGTCAAATAGTCTCTGTTGGTGTTTTACTATTATATGATGTTTTTTGGATAAATATTAGGTAGCCTTATTTAGCAAGGGGTTTTTATTCAGAGATAATTGAAAATACCAACATAAACAGTGTTTAAATCACCAAAACAAACAGTGAGCATATGAATCTGAACATCCAATGGTAAATCTTCAGTGCAGAATGCTGATACACATAGTTTGTGAAGTTGGGATGACATACATCAAGAGGCGCGTTCACACCAAGTACTTTTCCCACAATAGTTCATGAGAACTCAGTTCATGAGAACTCTTTTAGTTCTGATGAACTAAAGCAGATCGCGTTCACACCGAAATGAGTTCCTGGGGGTGGATTAGGCAAATGAAGCCGCCAACGTCACTTCTTCTTCTTCTGCTTTGGGTTTACTGGCAGGCCGCAAACAACTTCACGGCGAGTACAGTAGGTGGCGGTATGCACCTTAAAGTTGCAATCCGCCAAAAAACAGAGAGAAGAAGAAAAACCTCCTGCGTATACTGCCACGCCCACCTGCTGTATACTGTATGAGGCGTCTGTTTACCTTCCGACCTTGTTATTTAAGCAAACACAAATACAGATCGTCGACCAGTCAAATGCAATAGCAATGCTGATTCGGAAGCGAAGGCGGTTAAGAAGGATTGCGTAACCTGTGTGAAATTAATAAACTGTGCCAGGTGTGTCGTATGCACAGTAAATAGGCTCAGCAGTTAACACACCTTTATTATATATCCTCCTGAGAGCAACTGAATCCGTCTGCCATGAACCCTACAGAAACCTACGTGTTAGTTTTGGCCCATAGTGGCCTCCATTTGTGTCGTGTAAAATGGGGGAAATCAAAAGTTAGTAAATCCCCATGTCATGTTCATAAAAACATTTAGTTTTAGGTCAAATAATTATTACACTGCTCTGAAACTCACTACACTAACTCCTAAGATGTTCCCTTACTATAATTAATTAAAATATTGAACTGACAACACTGGTAATTACAAACTTAACCATTTCTCTTTCTATAAATAAATAGTGCTTGTGTTGATGGACGCCATTTTGAAATACAATGAAATTATCTTTTTCAAAGCCACATATTTGGGGTGGGACACAATAAATAAAGCTTCGCCAGTTTATAACCGATGAAACATGATGGTATCAGAATAATCACTTACATGTGATGTATAGGATGCTACACAGGTCACTGTAAAGATAAAGTGTCAGAGGAGAAATAAGCAAGATACAGGATCTGTTTAATCGCCATGTAGGTTCTCTTTTATTGCACACTCAAGACAATATCAATAACGGCATCACGCTGTCCCAGGTGTGTCGTATGCATGTAAATACAAGTTAAAAGTTTTAATGTAAATAGAAGTTAACATTTTCAATATAAAAGAAAGTGTCAGTAGTATCAAAACAATATATATATATAATAACAATAATAGGTAGGCTCAGCAGCAGACACACCTTAGTGCAAAGTGAAGTGTCAGTATTAATAACAGTGGCATATATATAATCACAATAATACAAAATTAACTTTCCCAGGTGTAGGCAATTTGGGGTGAAGTGTCTTGCCCAGGGACACAACGACATGCTGACTGGAGTGGGGTTTGAACCTGTGCTCCCCTGATCCGAACACCAACGCACCAGTCCACTGCACAACACGCCTCCCAACAAGTCATTGTACAGTTTATCAACGACGACAAGTTTTTCTTTATTTTTTTATTGAAGGCCTGTTGGATTTAATCAGCTCGCTTAACACTGCCAGAAGCCCAGCCTGAAAGGTATTTTGTTGCTCCACCTGGCGCGCCGCCGAGTCAGCATGGCGCGGCATCACCATGAGCAGCTGGTCGTCCGATTCCTGGGCCTTGTGTGAATGCAGCAGCCGTTCGTCTTGCATCTCCTTGGCACGCAGGTCCTCATTCTCCTTGCTGACCATGGCACGGAGGTCCTCCATCGCCATGATGGTGTCAAGGAAGCTGTCATCCCGTGCCCGCTTTCCTAAGAGGAGAAATAAGCAAGATACAAGATCAGTTTAATCGCCTAGTAGGTTGTCAACAGAGACAACATTGGACATGGTGCAGGCAGGGACAGTGTACAAAATGCAGGTGTAAAGTAGAAGATAAGATAGGATCAAATATCAAATAAAAAATAAATATCAAAGTGCCCTTATTTATTGTTTTGTGCTTAATGTATGCTTGAACTTTGTTTTATAGGGATTAGTGGACATCAGTTCGATGCATAACCTTCTTTCAAGGCCAGAGTAGTTACAGTGTAAGTGGATTGACATCTAACATAACATTGCTGAGTAAAATTATAACAATCAATAAAAAAAAAAAAATTGAATTTCAATTACATTTTTTAAATGTGCAAAAATATTAGAACATCAGTCTTTTTGGCATGCAGGTAATCAACTGTTTAAGCTTTTACCATTAACATGTAGAATGAATGTTGCAAATGACACATGAAATTATAGCAACTACCATGTAAGTAATTTTTTACCTCAATTCATTCAGTGTAGCCACAGAGGTAGCATTATGTCCAGCTAGCATGCTAATTGCTAATGTTATATTATCGTTTTATCCCAGAGGGGAAAGCTCACTAGTTTCCAATCCAGGGAGAAACACCTCGCCTGAAACCAAGCGGCAAACTCTGGGGAAGAGCCGGGACGCCAATACGGAAGTGCCACAAACTGCAGTTCATATATTGGCCGATAGGCGCTGACTGCAGAAAGGAGCAATTTCCATAGACCCCCATGTTAAAATGCCCAATTTTACAGCCTAAAAAAACATGTTTCTACCCATGGATCCAATAAATATTATTATAGATATAGTTAGATTCCACCTTCATGATTATGGATCTGTGAGTGAATTGTTTTCTAACATGACCCTTTTATTTATATTAGGTCTTAAAGTTTTTGCATAAATTAGGGCGTGGTCACATTGAGTGACAGCTCTGTCAAGTGACTGCTGCTGTTAGCTTCTTGTCTCTCTGCTAGCTGCTCCGTCCGTGAAGCTACAGGGACTCTGCCTGCCCAGTTCATCCAGGGAACACAACTTGACCCCGGCCGTGTTTGTTTGTTCTTCATGCTTATATATCGGACTATTGTGACTCGCTCTGCGGTTAAAACAGACGGTGCATGAATGCCGTTTTGCGGTAAGTGAAATTCGAGTACTTTATTTATGTGTTTATGATTTTAATCAGCTACGTAATGAATGTTAAGGCTTGGGTTAGCGTGTAAGCAAGTGGTAGCTACATCGGTGCTAACGATGCTAATCGTATCCTCCAAGTTAACTTAAAACCATAGACTGTATATATAAAGGTTAAAATGAAATAGACAAGTGTTAAGCGTTAAGTGAGATAGTACTGTAGAACAAAAGGCTTCTGTTTGAGGTTGATAAAATAAGGTCATCCTTGTAACTTAGAGAGATATTTTATTATGTAGGTAGGAACTGTATGCATCGCTAAGGTTAATTTAAATTGGCTATGCTCAAGTATGTAGACAAGCTAACGTCGAAGTAGTGTATGTGAAATCAACCTCACAATAAGATGTGTGTATATTACAATTATTAATGTCATATTTCAAGATGATTACTTAGATATTACAATATGGTTGGTTGAGCTGGAGTTCATTATTGAGCTTACACATTAACGTCACAGTCATCTGAAGAACGAACCCAAACCTTGTTGTTTTTATTAATTGCATTACCAAATTGGTATCAAATAAACAGTAAGCATTGGTAACACAACTTCCAAAGTTACAGTAAAATAAAAAGGACCCTGACTCGGGCAATACACAATCCAACATGTTCAACAGAAGAGAATAAGTTATATTGTTTGTACACATAGTTCTTTACATATATATCTGTTTGTTTAAAGTTTCCAGGTGATGCAGACAGGCTGGACCAGAGAGTGAGAGACAGAACTGGACTCCTCACAGCAGTGAACTTCAGCACAGGTACAAATACTCTTTTTTCATACTGTACAAAGAATCAAGAAAGATATTGGTTTAAATAAATGAAGTATTGACTTTAATACACTGATATACATTCCATTAAACAATACTAAATACTAGATCACCTACACATCAGTGAAGTTGAGGGTTTTTTCCATGCAAAGGGTTACATGTTAACAAGCAATATTACTTTGTCAGCTTTCTAATTTAAGGTATTGAAGGCAAAGCTATTAGTGAGAACTGCTACTATTTATCTCTCAATATTGTCTGTAAAAAACGTGGTAAAAGTTATGATTTCAGTGAGAGAACAGAGCAAGCTTCTACAGTTGCACTAAGTTTTGATAACAGTTAAATATTATTTTGATAATAAAATATATTTCAATGTTGATGAATGTCATACTGTTCATTCATAATCTGATTGTCTTTGTAGCTCACTGTTGAAATAAAATAAAACATTACAATTACAAAATAATTATATCTTCAGCCCCTAAACACAAGCACACCTCTTTCATAAATAACACACTTGTTCTGCAATAATATGTTTTATGTTTCCTGTGATTTTTGTTAGGAAAGGACATGCCTGAAAGACACGACTCAACATTTTCTCCTTCTCTGAGGGTCAAGAAGAACATCCAAGAGGAAAATTAAAAGCTGATGTTATGAGATTTTAAGACCAGTACAGGACATTCACTAAGAAACTACTTTTATTGTGAAGTCAGCTGATCGAATGCACCTATTTCCACATCTACACTCCATCAGCTGATTAATTCTATTTGCCTCACTTTATGAGCTTCACAACACCTGTACCTTGTACCGCAGAGTTTGCAACGTCACAAATAAATGGGGCCAATCTTCAGTCAGATGTGAATGTGTAATCTAACATTTTCAGTAAGAATAATGGACAAAAGGAGTGCAAATACAAATTCAATTTATTGTAATCTGAACCAAAAGTTAATCAAACATGTTTTAAATAAAAAAGCACATATGGACAGAAGGTGTAAACCTATTAAATGTATAAGTAAACACATTTAGTCAAATAAAGTGACAGACAAGGCCTGTGCAGTTGGTATCAGCTATGCCCAGCATGGGCTCCTCCATCAGGCCTGGTCCTCCTCGCAGAGGAAAGACCCTCAGTCCTCTCCAAACCAACAGACTGGACGTCCATCACACGGAGGTTTCTCTCTGAAGTCTCTGCAGCTCTCTGGACACCACGCTGTCTCAATCCGTCCACACTGAATATGAGTGGGGGAAAATGAAAATAATAAATGCTTTAGACAATAAGAAATATAAAGTTGACTGTTGAGTTGCTCAGTTTTTTTAGATTGTCAATACTATTACTGTATAACTAATATCTCAGGTTAAGAGGCACCTTCAAATAAAGATTGGTCTTTAAATACATTTTGTCTTTTGAATTGTTTGTCTAAAGTCAAGGATCTAGAACTGGTACTTATAGTTTTAATGATACAGTCTGGTTATAATGCTGTTTGGAGGAGGCCTCACAGGTAAGAGCACTAACTAGCTACCATCACATGTACTGTACCTTAGCTTGACTTAAATGTATTAAACGTATAATTAAGTGATAGCAAAATATAAATAACTAATGTCATGCAAACATATTAATTTGCTTGATTCCAGTGTTGCATTTAGCACATTGCATACAAACGTTAAGGGATTTTAAGATTCTGAAGTATTATGCTAAAAACTCAATAATTAGATTATTATTTATAGTTTTGCTGAATAGTTTCATGTCCGCTTACCTTAGAAACGTAAAATGTGACGGCAGTGTGCAGATGGGGAGCATGTTAGCTTAGCTTCTTAGCTTGAGCTAGCTCTGTTACTTCCCAGCTGGAGGCAGCAGGTCCCGCCTCGGCTCCGCCTCTTTGCCCTTATTTGGGAGTTAGACTCAGACGTCACTGTCGAGCCGTTAGTGGCCGACTCCGCCTACTAAGGGCTTCTCGGCAACTCTGCAGAATCCTATGGGTGACGTCACGGACCCTACGTCCATTTATATATACAGTCTATGCCTGAAACACATGATTAGTGCCATGAGTTAGTGAAGCAAATTACAGAACATTGCACACTTATTCACAAATCAAAACGTTTTCATAGCGGGCGCGGCTGAGAATAGCTAGCTAGCTAGATGTTGTTAGCCAGCTTGGAGCTATGATAGCCAGTTCAGCTAGCATGGCTAGCTCGATCTACTGAGCAAATAAAAGTACATCTGAGACCAGTATTGTGCAGATTAAAACAGTGCAGTGCATGTAGTTTATTTTACCTTCGTCATCGTCCCGGCATGACTTTGCGCTGTGGACAGTTCCTAGGTGCGCTGTGGACGGTTCCCAGGTCGGCTGTACAACGGAAACTGCCTTCAGTAGAAGCTTCTGGATCGCGTCCTTCTAGTAAAACGCCAGAAGCGCCGACACATCCTCATCACTCCACCGCTCCGATGATTTATTTAGTGTTGCTATAATAACTGCTTTCACAAAAGTAATCTCTTCGTTGGTGCGCGGCGCTGAGATTTTAATGCGAGCAAATAAAATGGCGGCTTCACAAACGTTTTTGGGAGTTTTACGGGGCGTGGTTTGCATTCCGCCCAGCCAATCAGACATATGAACCTTTTTCTCCCACAAAAGTCCCTGCTCTCAGGGACTGAAAAGCGGGTAAAAATGGTGCTGATGAACTCATTTAGTTCCGGGGGCTTTTTGGTGTGAACGCAAATATATCGTAGTTCTGATGAACTATTGTGGGAAAAGTACTCCGGTGTGAGCGCGCCACAAGATACAATTCAGCATTCATTTCAATTAAAGAAAACTCGTATTTGCAACACTTGTTTGTTCCATTTCTATGACATTCATTGGATAAACAAATATTTTCACTACTTAAATTCAAATTCCAGTTTCTTTAACCTTAACTACTAACCTTGTCTACAATTAACGCACCTTTCTCGCTAAACCAAAGTAATGATAATGCACTTCATGTCCTTTTTTTATTGACATTCAGTTAGTGTAAAAGTATTATTAATGATTTGTCTATCTGCAATCTAAGTGCAAAATCGATGAACCGCTCCATTGTTGTGGTTTCTGTGTTACAGAACTGACCAGGAAGTACATTGAGCTAAATGAAAAGTTTTGCGAGATCTCGCAAAAACCCTTTGCGATATCTCTATCTTTTTTTTTTTTTTTTTTTTAAATCATTTTTTTTTTCTTCTCCATGTCCCCTAGGGGGCTCCGTAATTTTACTACCTATATGTCGTAGTTATTGTCTTTGATAACAGTGATGTGTTATCACATGTTTAAAAAGTTTGCACAAAGCTCTAAGATTCTGTAATTACCATGCCACAAACATAATGGGGAACATAACATACACATTCAGTCAGTGATAAAAGCACATGAAAGACAGCTTAACTGAACAATAATTTTCACAACTTACACATGTTGCTGCAGCATATAGGAACAATATATGAATGGATGTCATTCATCAATGCGTAAAGTGACGGGGTGGATTTTGCCAAGCCATCATTCAGTGCAACATTCCTTTGTGTCAGAGAGTCTCCTATAATTACTTCTTGCCTGGAGCTTTGCAATACAAAGCCTCTTCACCTTAAGCCCGACAGGGAGCCATGCATCCTCAGCCAGTCTGTACAGGACCAGCTGTATCTCCAAAACACTCCAGGAAAAGTACACAAAATGGTCACCTCTACCAGTGAATGGTCAGATGGTCATCTTTTAGGGTCTGTAAGGTGAAGTTCCACCTATACTGCCGCCAGTTATTGAGATATATTTCATGTCACCTGTCTACTGGTTGCCACCCCCTCTTCGCAAAACTATAATTAAAGAAAACAAACCACAAGTGCCAACAAAAGGTATATATCTACAGTAGTACACTAGTTGAGTAATACCTCTGTTTCTTAATCAAACCAACAGGAGCTTATTGACCCTTTTTATCTTTAGACAAGCTGACATTGCTTTGGGGTTTTATAATTCATTTAGGACATCTCAGATTCTTTAACCCTTTTACCTCAGGCAATGTTGATATATAGTCCAGGGCGGAGACCAAAGGTGATCAGACCTTTGCCATAGGGTCTCTAAACTTCCTGTGGAATTTATTCTGGCATCAATGTCTCCTCTTAAAAAAGGATTTTAACATCATTTACCAGTGCTATTTTTCAAATATGTTTATGCAAGGTTAACTGACTTACAGTAAACAACAGATTTAAATAACAAGAAAAAAAAAAGAAATCCGGACTAATAACTACCAAACAAATAGCTATTATCCAGATCTCACCTCACACAACTCTGCAGTACGTCTAACCCAATCAATCAAAGTATGTTTTCCTTTCAAAGGATATGAGATAATATGCAAATCTCTAGGTCATATAACCTTTGAAAAAAGACAAATACACAATATTATATAATTAAACAAAAGTTGTGCTATTCAAAAACTTCTAGTCAACTTATGCATCTAGTTGATTGAACTTACAGTGGTTAAAATACACATTTAAAGAAACACACAGAAAATTGCTGTTGTAAACACATCCCAGTTCTCCCTGAGGGCAGAGCGGAGTCCTGGAAACGCTCAATGGGCTCTGGTCTGGCGGTACCTCCTTATAAAGGAGGCGTGAGTGTCTGGGAGTCTCTCACTCTCTGCTCCACAGAATGACTGACACCGCTGCTGCTGCTTCTGTTCATCAATGAGCTAACTGGAGCTTACTGTGCACCTTCTGCTGTTCCTGATACCTTCTTCAAGTGGGCTGCACTCAAAAAGGACACTATAATTTGCAGCATTTCCAAAGGACTGTGAGTTAACTGTGAGTTGACAGAAGGACCATTTCTAAATTGCTTAATAATATTCATAACTTTTTTGTTTGACTCTAAATTGTCTGACTGAACTGAAATGTTTTAAAACTTAGCTCATCAAATGTATGGATTCACAAACTTTTCCACTCAATTATAGTCTTTTAATTGGTGGAATATAATGACACAAAAAAGAGTGACATGTATACTCAGAATATGAAGTATAAGCTACAGTATGGGTTGTAAGAGGGAAAAAAAACATTGTTAATGTTGTAGTGACAATAACATTTACGATGTAAGCGTAAACATCATTAAACAGCACAATATAATACAACTATAACATCAAATTAATTGCAATGTGTTGATGCAGAAAATAATTTTGTCTATGGTAAAATGTATCCATAATGATTTATTTTTGCTATTTTTCTCGAAAGTTGGGTCAAGGATGTTTCCCTCCTTTAAGTTGGTGCTGCTGGTCACAGCACTGACATGTGTTTGGGCGCAAGACCTTTATGAAGAGAGGAAAACTAACAAGAAATCCAGGGCCAAACCTGTGGCTGCAAATATACACAATGGACAAGGTAAGGTTGAAAATAAAATGAATAAACAAAAAAATGCATCATTTTGGCATATAGTAAAATTAAAATGTAATCACTTAGTGATACTAACACTTTAGAAGCATGTTGTACAACCAGTAAAGAGTCCTTCATCTTATTGTTTTGTGTGCACTCAGCCATCCTGGATGAGGACTGTAGCTTGGAGCTCTCCTTCCTGTTGGACAGCTCCGAGAGCGCCAAAGACAACCACGAGCAGGAGAAGCAGTTCTCCATGAACATGGTGGACAGACTGAAGGGCATCCAGCTGCCTACCGGCCAAGGATTGAGCTTGAGGGTGGCTCTTCTGCAGTACAGTAGCCACGTTATCAGAGAGCAGACCTTCAAGGACTGGAGGGGCACAGAGAACTTCAAGACCCTTATAACTCCCATCGTCTACATCGGGCACGGCACCTACACCACCTACGCCATCACCAACATGACCAGGATGTACCTAGAAGAAACCAGCCCCAGCAGCATCAAAGCAGCCGTGCTGCTCACAGATGGCATTTCCCATCCGAGGAACCCGGACATCTTCTCTGCTGTTGCTGATGCCAAGAACCAGGGCATCAAAATCTTCACTCTGGGCATCACCCGGGCAGCCAACGAGCCAGCCAATGTCGCCCAGCTGCGACTACTGGCCAGCTCCCCGGCTTCCCACTTCCTCTATAATTTACAGGACGAAGATGTTATTCAAAAAATCGTCACTGAGATTGTGAGTGTAATTCCTCGTCTTTCAGCAGTCAACACTGAGAAGAAAAGTGATGTATTTGCTTTGCATATAGATCAGTTCAGAGTTGACACAAAGGCAGGCTGGTTCAGGTATTTGTATAGAGATGGAATGATGACAATGCTCAGGGGAAACAAATGAAAGGATGATATGACAGCTCTGGATTTGAAACGTTTTACACAGCTTTAGAAAAATTATGTTTGAGCATATCCCCTAGGATTCCTAGAATTACACACATGACTGGAATTTAGACATGTATTACAGTTACTGGCTACAAAGATTCTTCAAACTGGGATAGTATTAAGGATTGTTCTCGGCCTTATCACTTTTGTCTTCTTTCAAGTTTAATTGACCTTACCTTTTGTTTTCCCAAACTTGTTTTACTTGTATGAAGTTTTTGTCATTTATTGTGCTACATTAAAAGATTATAACAAATAATCACTAAGCAACAACTAGACCAACCTGATAAGATACTACAATGATACAATATTCAAATTCTATCAGATATTCATCCACTTTTGTTTTCTTTGCAGACTAGCTTGGCTGAAGAATCAGTAAGTATTATTAATACTACAAAGCTCATATATGGAAGCTTTTGACATTTAATAATGTGTAATTTTGTGAGGTTGTATAGAAATACATTCAAGACAGCAAATGTGTCCTTTTTCTGAAGTGCCCCCTGGCTCAGAAATGTGCTTGTGAAAAAGGAGAGAGGGGACCCAGCGGGCCTGCGGTGAGTATTTACACTCAAACCTTTCAAAATATTCCACAAGTAGTTTCCTTTGAAGTGTCACAAGTCAGAAAAAAGGTTTCCTGACATGTTGGGAAGAGAAATCTATCATGATCCTTGTATTTGACGTATGGTAATTGTACCATTTTGAACAATCAGGATAATTACTTGTTTTTTCTCCTCAGTATAGCTTGCAGGCAATTGCCCAGAGGGAGTAGATATGTGAGCCTGACCCACATTTCTAAAATGCAAATCTATGGCAACAGGAAAAAGACATCAGAGACGATGGTCTGCTTTTCCCAGATAAATATGTTTGTTTTGCCCCGTCTCCATCAGCTATTGTGCATTTCTCGTGCAACATGTGTTGTCCCCCTTGGAAACCAGAGGCACCATATTTGTAGGTCCACTCCCCATAAAACTGGACCTCTGACCACCATAAATCTTTCATATGACCCGTTCTGCCACGGTCAGATACACAGGGATAAAGGACAGCACTATAGCGCATCAGATAATACACATCATTTCTGTGTGATGCTAAAAGATGATGATCCCCTGCCCACTCTAGACAAACCCCCCTCTTTACACTATTATACTAATATCTATCTTTTCAGGGGCCTGGCAGATAATCATGTTGCTGACAGCTGCATGGTTATTAACCAGGTGCTTTCTCCTAAAAAAGATTCTTTAAATTCTTCCAATCATACGAAGAGGCTTTTGAAATTGCTCTCATTAGTTTAATGGCCACAAACTAGTGATTTCTGGTTCTTAACAATTGACAAACGCTGTCCAGGTGCAGCTCAAGACCGTGACCCCCTGGCCCTGTGGACAAGATACCTCTTGCCCTCCCAGTTACCTATGTCTCAGTTCCTTCATGTGTTTCTCAAACAATGCCTGTCTACAGACAAAAACATACCAAATACATGTCCATGATAACCTTTTTTTTCAAGTTTGGGACATAGACCTGTTTGTGATTTGTGACTTTAGTAAGACACGACTAATATTTGAAATTTGTCAGAAGCAGTGGTTCTTTAACGAACCCTAATAAAAGGCAATACAAAATATGTTTTAAATAGAAAAAAACAGGTGAAAAAAACAACAAAACATTAGATTGCAATGTCTAAGTCCTAAAATAAAATCATAAATAATACTAGCTGTTGCTTTCATATTTTTTTGGAGGATGGAATTAATTAATTTGACATTCTAAACAATTGGTCTGAATAACACAACTTTAATTCTGTGTCCAGAATCAACTATGCTGCCCTGATCTACATTTTTGATTAAGGATGAAGATTGATGTGCTTTTTCTCCTGTATGATATTAATGGCCAGTTTAGTTAGATGTGCTGAGAGTTTATCAGAACAAACTTGTATGCCATGTCAAAGAGCTCGAGAAAAACAAATCTGGGGTGTACCCTTTTACGCCATAGACTCTAAGCCTTGCACTTAGAATGTGTTCTCTTTTTTACCCCACAACAAATGTTTTTTGACATTTGCCATGCAACATGAGCAAGCTGTCAATGTGGACACCAAGAGGTGAGCAAAATGTCAGTGGAAGAAATAAATCAACTTAACCCTAACTTGGTTCCATTCTACAGGGGAAAAAAGGTCGCTCCGGAGAAGACGGAGCCCCCGGGCTTAGAGGGCAAAAGGTAAGTGCTTTTCGATGGACATGTGGACTGTGCATGACTCAGCTGGAAGGCTTTTTCAGTTGTTACATAATATGGTTCATATACTGTACATATAGAAACGTATACATATAAAGCATTATTTAATACCTCCTGAGTAGTTATTCTTTTTCAGTTTCTGGAAGTAGTAAACTGGTTCAAATATTATAATTCATGTATTTAATAATTTGTAGCAGAAATTTACATTTTAGCTCTGACATTTGTTTAAAACAAACATTTAGTTTAAGGACAAAATATAAATACATTATACAATAAAGAAATGACATGCTTAAACATTTGTCAAGGAGTTTATGACAAACTCTATGAAGCGCAGTTTCTGCTTATAAAAACAACTTTTCGTTCTCTTCAAACATCTCCATTGGAGTACCACAAGGTTCAGGTTAAGGCCCTCTTTTATTCTCTTTAAATGCACTTAATATGATAAATAAAATAAATATATATATATTACTGTCACACTAACAATTTGTAACTGTATATATATGTTATATATTGTAAATAATATTGATTTATCGTGATTATAATCTGCTCATATTGAGTTTATTAATTTGTGAATAATTATATACAGCTGTTCAACATCATCTTATTGTTGATCTTAAGTTATATTATGTTCAAGCTTATAGCACTTAAACTTAAAAAATACAAGTTTTCAGTCTATTTATATTGGTGCTAACTTTAAATAGAGGATGTTTCATGTTGTTGTCTCTCTTCTCAATCTGTTTAAACCTGCTATATGTCACTGTTTAAGGATATTCATTGATTAAGAGATACAAGCAGTTGTAACTCTTATTCAATGATTCAATGAGTGTACTTTCTGTCACATCAGGGTGAAGCAGGACTAAGTGGTCTACCTGGAAAAGAGGGTGCTGAGGTACATTTCAACATTTATGATCAAAGTAAGAAAACCAATATCTCTGTGGTTGTTCACAAATAACATCCCATTCATTTTATTTGCAGGGGAAACCAGGTTACAAAGGAGAGCAGGTATGTGATCTAAAATACGATACAATACTATTTTATGGTCAGATCATGTCTTTAATTGTTATAGCATCGGATATACTGAATACTAAGACAATATACAAGAAAAACGACATTCAATACAACATCATAATCACTGAAGACATTTAAATGAATGACAATATAATTTTGTCTTGTCGGAAACAATGCAAGTCTGTTCAGATTGTAATTTCTACATAGGGCGAGAGGGGTGAATGTGGCACTCCAGGAATCAAAGGAGACAGGGTACAACCGCACTGTCGACACACACTGAATATTAAATTTCCAGTTTGATCATTCCTTACTGTAAATACTGTGTTTGGTCTGATGAGCTTTTTTCTTTCCTGTGTGATGTGGTTCAGGGCCCTGAGGGACCAGTTGGAACAAGAGGACCTAGAGGGCTGCAGGTCAGTAGTAATCAAGTAGTAAAATATGCAACTATAATGTTTAAATAGAGCTTGTGTTTAATTGTGAATATGCAGACACATTTATCCAAACATACTTATTAAAATGTTGTGGGATGTGTTTTTTATCAGTTTTTATCCGTTTTTTTTCATCAGTTTGTATCAGTTATTTTATGTTATTTCTGCGCAGGGGTTACCAGGACCACATGGGGACGTTGGACCAGAGGGCCATCAGGGAAAGCAGGTCAGCCCCTTTTAGAACACTTTTGCTTTCCTCATCGTGCACATCTGCTGTGGCCTTTACATTTCCTTTTGTGATTAGTTTAAACTAGAGATTGGAGCTTTACCACCCCGGTCTTTACCGTGCAGCACAGAGGACTGTTTGTCTGGTAATAAACCCCTGTGTGAACACTCGGCAACGAGCCAACGTCTTCCCCATCATTACTGTTATTCACCAGCATAGGGATGAGCCATCAGCAAAATAAAAACACTAAAGATTCTGCTAATGATCTACTCGTATCCTGTTACTAAATACAGACTTGGAAGTGCCGTCAGCAATGTCAGCTCGTCCAATAAATAACATACATGGAAGTCAGTGTTGGGTGTGTCGCCATGTGAAGACTTGTAGGAAGCATTTGCAAATATTAACAGGACTCTTGGTGGTCTTTCTATATAGTTTATCTTCTGTTTCTGTCGCCTAAAGAGACTGTGAGACATGTCTTTTCACAAATTAATTTCATGGAATAATAAAATGTCTAAATAGTCAATTGTATTCAGTTTGTATTAAGTGAATTATTCTGGTTAAAGGAAAGTAGTACAATGATACACATGCATTCATGTAATTCATCCAAACGTTGATGAGAGCCTCCAGCAGTTCTTTGTTAATTTGAGACACTGTTGTTTGGGGTTTGTCAAACTTTAAAGCATTACTTAAGCTCAAGTTAAGCTCTTATGTCCTGCCCTGCAGGAAGATAATAAGATATCAGCAACACTAAACAAAATATTTACATAATTTATTTCATCTTCAAAGAAGCATGTTACCTGCATGTGTGTGTGTGCAGTATCCATGTATAAGTCTGTACTATCAAATTTAGTTTTGAGTTTGATATTTTTCTGAGGTGCAACATAGTGTTTAATTGTTCAATAATAGAAGGACATTTTTATGGAGGAAAGGATGACACCAAACTTATGGTTTAGGACTTATTTTTAGGACTAATTTTTTTTGTTTCTAAATTGATTAATAGTAGTAATAGTTTTATTATGTTTGTGCTGACAGGGTGAACGTGGCACATCTGGCCCTCCAGGAATTCAGGGGGAAACTGGCATTGGCCTTGCTGGACCAAAGGTAAATTAACTGGCATTGGCCTTGCTGGACCAAAGGTAAATTAACTGGCATTGGCCTTGCTGGACCAAAGTTAAATTATGTTATGGATTATCCTCTGGATATTGTCTTGCACATTGTGATTGTTTGCTGCTATATCAATTTATTTAAGTTTCTCTTATTAAATGGTCTGTTACTATTTAAATCTGCAGGGTGATATGGGATTCCAGGGTCGAGCAGGTCCTCCCGGCCCCCATGGAGTGGGCGAACACGGCCCTCCTGTAAGTTAAACAGGAAATGATTTGTGTCTCTGTGGTGATCATGATCTGTTGAGAAAGCCCACACAGGTAATTTGACCTGAGCATTTTTGGGTAACCTTTTGTACACTCTTGCTTTGTTTACAGGGACCTCAAGGACAACAAGGTGTTCAAGGGGAAAGAGGACCCCAAGGCGAGGGGCTTCCCGGACCAAAGGTATTTTTCCAACTCTATCGTCAGATAACTCATCAAAACAATAGTAATAGTAAAACTAGATCACACCATGTCTATAAGGTATGGAAAGAGACAAGGGTCAGTTGTTGATTAATTCATGTGTATATGCTAAATATGCTAATATATGTATATTGATTTTGGATTTTGCTTAAGGCCTATCTTTGAGTTCAAACTAATTATAATACAGTAAGGAAGTCATCTATGTCAGTATTGGAAAATTACATACAATCTTTTTTTTTCTTCACATTTACCATTGTGATCGCATTATTGAGATAATTTTGCAGACATCTGCTGCTTTTGTTTTTTATTATATTATCTGAATCATGTGATCAAAATGTTGAAATAACCAAGAAAGACATCTTACATTTTGGATCATTTTTCTAAAACCTCTAGTGAATAGCTGACTTCCATAATTTCATTTCAAAAACCATGAAAGCAATAAGCATGTCCAAACCATGTGCATCTCTCTTGTTGTGTTGTGAGTTGATAGATGCTTTCAAAAACATGAGCTCTCATTAAGCAATATGCGTCATGGAGACTATTTTGCCGTTCATGGTATGCATCTGTTGAAACCAGATCTCACTCTTTTCCAACTCACTGACTCACATCTCAGGTGTTCACTGTAGCGTTACTACTCACTCATACAATGTTATACTGTAAGCCTGAAAAATCTGTATGTTTGCCTGCCATGCTGCAACATGCTGCATACGTTTACACCAGACTCTGCAAATACTCCATTCAAATAGAGAAAACTGGGATTAAACCAAGGGTTATACAAGACAAATGCTAGACTGAGCCCAATGGTATATGGCTTACAGTTTAAATACACAAGTACATTATTATTGCAGCAGAACAGAGAAACCATAACCACAATAAAGTCAGATTAATTAATCATATCCAAGAGCATACAAATAATTGCCTCTCCTCTCACAAGACAGAACATGTGGGTGAAATTGGCAACAAGAGGAGCATTTTTATGGGGAGGTACAGTTTTATTTCTTAGAGAAAGCTGTTGGAAAGTGAACACTAATAATGTCCTCAAGCAACACATCTGTTTTACCTGTGCCACACTTCCTAGTAGATTTTACTCCTCTGCGGATTTCTACCTCTTGTAAAATGTATCTGAGCACTTTTGTTGGGGTGATCACAACCTCTCTTCACACGTCCATCAGCAACTTCTTCATTTCATACTTCAATGCCACCGGAAAAAGTTCATGCAGTCAAGAAATACCATGAAAGAAAATTGTTCCATTCTTTGTGCGTAGGATCAGTTTGTATCAATCACAAGAGGATAACAGGAGCCAACATGCTTCCCTTCCATATGCTCTTCACTGAGAACAATGCACACTTGGCTGCGATCCAAAGGCAAGTGTCTGTGATATACTGACAGATATCATGTTTTCCTTCACAGGGGGAACGGGGGCTCGGCGGACCGAGGGGACCAAGGGGACAGCAGGGTGCAGGAATCAAAGGAGAACGGGTGGGTTATAGAGGTTTCACCTAACAGAGAGAATATGCTGCATGAACTGATTTTTGTGTTTCTTAGTCTTTACCATCACACATTGATTAGTGGAACAGTGTGAGCTCATGAATTCGTCAAACTCAAAATAATACTAAAAAATATTAATAATTTGGCGCTTCACAATTGTGCTATAATTAAACTGAACATTATTTGATTATTCTGCGTATTTCCCAAATTGGATAAAATATGCAAAGTTTTCTCTTGTGTAAAGTACCTCAAGTTTGACAGACCAAAATTGTAAGAAACCAATAGCCTCCTGAAGAAGCCCTGAGAGGCAAATAAGAAAAAAACAGATCTAAAATGTTTTTTCTGCTGTATGTATAACTAAAGAAATTGGATTTGTCATCTTTATAATCTTTTTAAGTTTGTAAACATTTTTCAATAATCAAAAAAGGACTGGGATTTGTCAAGCTGTTCGCTGATGTAATTCAAATTTCGGCCACAAGAGGATAAAGTGCAACACCACCCTATGTTCTGAAAAGGACAAAACGTTTAAGTTTTCTAGTCAAAAGTTACTAAACAAACATGACCATAATTTCACATAACCTGCTAACACACAAAACAGGTATGTTGTGTTTATTATTCATGGAGGATTAGAACATACCATGAATCAAACACAATAAACTAGTCCGATTTGTTTGAAAGAATTAGAAAAGTAAAATTCAGTTGAGACATTGTGAAAACATTTTGTAGTGAAGCGAGTCACAGAGAACTGATACTTTGATGTTGTACTTCCAGGGTGATATGGGGCCTCTAGGTTTTCCAGGGCCAACTGGACTGACAGGAGCGGGCATACAGGGAGAGAAGGTCGGCAAAATGTCTTCAATATATTTTCCCAAGCAAACTGACATTGAGTAGTGGGACACTCTAACTTGTATTACTACCCAGGGAGTCGAGGGTCCAAAGGGTCCACCAGGTGGCAGAGGAAATCGGGGAGAAGGTTTACCTGGACCTAAGGTTTGTTGCTGTATGAAACACACATACTGCAAAGTGTATATAGGGGTTAGGTTTTTAAGTATGATGAGCAGTTGTCCTCATGCTTTTTGTATTTCTAGGGAGATCAAGGTTTACCAGGAGAGCAGGGGTCCACAGGAGAGAGAGGCCTTGGGGAGCCAGGTTCAAAGGTAAATAAGTTAATTATGGTCTATGTTGGCGTATCGGAAGTACCAACTTAATCAAATCAAATAATACTGTTGTACTGTGACAGGGGGATCCTGGATCAGCGGGTTTGGGGGGCCTGCCTGGTCTTCCAGGAGAGGACGGAGCTCCAGGGCAGAAGGTGAAGTACATTATGCCGACTGTGTAGAAACAAACTTTGCATTACGATTGACTTTAGTGATACAGTATCTTTGATGGGGTTTTTGTATAAATAGAAGACTCTATTGTCATTATATATACACAGTACATGAAATGATGAATGCCTGTACCATCGGTGCTTAAAATACACACACAATACACAACTTTGCAAACCATTTAAAAAAAGACAAGCATTAAAAGACAAAGACATTAATAAAGACATTTAAAGTGCTTTTGTTAAATAAATAAAGCAGTTATGCAGTGTGTATGGCTTTGGGAAAGAAACTGTTTAACATTCTGGTGGGTATAGTGTAGATATTTATGTATTTCTCTAAAGATCTATTTACTTTTGAAAACCTTCTGAAGGAGTTGTCAATATGCCATTGCACTCTTTGAAATTATTTCATGTATACACATTTCTTAATTAATAGTTGACACTTGATTTGTTCAAGTTGTTTAAAACATTAAAGGAGTAGCCATTACAATTTGCACTCCTACACCTATTTGTATGTGAAGCATACTAAGCATAGAGTTCAAATAAATTGCTATTTTTCTGTAAATTGAATGCAAAAACAGGTCTGGAATCAGAATGAAATGGGTATTTGCCAATATCCAAATGTAGTTTTTGGAAAAAGATTGGAACGGAAAAAGGTGGATCGGTGCATCTTTATTATGAACTCACACTACATGTTTTCCTTTGTCCAATGGTTTGAAATAAACAAAAAACGTATTTATTTCCACTTTTTGGTCTCAGCTCATGGTTATAAAAGTATTACTTCTGTTTCATCCATCTTTCCTCTCATAGGGGGAGGGTAGTTTACCTGGTCTAAGAGGTGCTGAGGGAGCACAAGGAATTGGCATTCAAGGAGAGAAGGTATGCATTTATATTACATTATAAATCCTTGTGTTGTTCAGAATGTATACAACAACAACCGTTACTGTAATCAGATATATATGATCTCTCCCAGGGTGACCAGGGTCTGAGGGGCATCCGAGGGTTACATGGACCACCTGGGATATCAGGACCATCTGGACCAAAGGTAAGAGTTATTGAACGAGTATTGTATTAGGGTGTGAAAGCTTCCATGATAAAATACGCAGCCTCCATTTATTATATGATGGAAACATTGCCGTAGGTTGATTTATGGCACACTTTACCACAAAAACAAGTCCTCTGCAGGAGGTTGGCAGCTACACCTTTGTTGGTATAAAGATGTCAATTGGATGTTAAGTTTGACTTTTATCTTTCAGGGTGAACGTGGTTTGTCAGGCCGGCAGGGCATGCCGGGACAGCCAGGACGGTCCATATCAGGTCCAAAGGTAAATAAATAAAAACCGATCATCGAACTGTCTCTTAACAGATCTTGGCACTGAGGTTACAAGTCAAAAGAGCTGCCAGATATGGCGCGTTTCCACTACACGGCCTCGCTCGGTATGGCTAGGCCTCGTTAGGACTGGCTCACTTTATGGCGCATTTCCATTACAGTTTAGGAACTGGGGTAGTATCTATAGTAACGCAGTGTAGGCGGAGCCGTGACGTCATCTTCAATGAGAACCCCAGAAAAACAACACAGCCGTTAGCTGTTAGCACTCAGAGCTCACAGCTCCTCATATATGTTCAGAAACTAGACAAAAGTTAAACAAGTACACACCACAGACTGCCTGTGTCATGGTGAATACAGTCGCTGCTTTATTTATGTCTGTATAGGCCGTTGTTGTGAGTGTGGACGGTCGGAGCATATACTGCGTTAGCTTAGCCAATCTCCATTTAGAAAACACGCATTTTAAAAGGTTTTTCGCCTGCCGTCTGTCTGCAGACTCGACAAAGCATTAATTCATGGTTTTTACTAACCGGTATCAGTATGTTGTTACTTCGGCATCATTTTGAAACGTGTATTACAATTAAATCACGGTCAAATATGTCCATCTTGTTGTAGTTGTAGCCCCCTTGCCAGCGATTCTCTCTCTAGTTTAGCATACTCAGCCCGACTCAGCCTCGTTGTCTCTGGCCCTAGACCCACGATTTTATGAGGCCAGAAAAACTGTGAATTAGGACCCGCCGGCCGGTACTAGGCCAAGTGGAAACGCAACCAAAGACGGGCCGCTGACGTCACAGCCCTCTTAAACCGTGCTCCGCGCTGTAGTGGAAACGCGCCAATAGAGTCTGATGTAATGCAAGAAAAAATTGCTTCACCCACTCATCACTATGACTTTATTGTCTTTTATCCAGGGTGATGTAGGAACTGCTGGTCCCTCTGGTCCTGTTGGAGAAACAGGCCATGGATTACCTGGTCCAAAGGTAAAAACTCAAAAAATGTAGGACATTTGGTAACCATATTGTTTCAATAAGCATACTGATTTGTTTTGTTTTTTATCAGGGAATTAACATTAACTGAACACTATGGCAAAGATTGTGAAAACAGAGCGTTAAGCTAAAATATCTTGATGGTTTTAATCACTATATTTTCTTTAATTAGGGTGATCGTGGTCATCTGGGTCCATTAGGGCCAGTTGGACCAAAAGGCGAAGGCTTCCCCGGACCTGTGGTTGGTTTTCTCAACCTATTCACACATGCTAAAATGCAGTAACCATTCAATCCTGTTCAAGTTGGCTTGATCTTAATTAATACATGTATTTATTTCAGGGTCCTCCAGGCCTGCCAGGATTACAGGGCGAGCAAGGCCCAGAAGGAGTAGGAATCCCTGGTCCCAAGGTTTGTGTCAACGCATTCATTGGTTTGTTTGTTTGTTTGTTTATTTGTGTGTGTTATTTTGCATGCTTTGGGATGCCCATAGAGCATATTTCATGATGTCATAATCTGTTTCAGGGTGATGTTGGCTTTCGAGGATTGCCAGGTTTGCCCGGGCCAACTGGAGAGGGCTTACAGGGGCTGCCTGTAAGAACATTTTCTAACTAACTAATCATAGCGAATAACCACAAATATAAAATGGTTGACTATCCTGTGATTGTATGCTATATGCAAGTTGATGTTATTTTGTTTGTTTTAAGGGTAATGTTGGGAGGGCAGGACCTGCTGGTCCATCTGGTCCTGCAGGAGAAGGTATTCAAGGCCCAAAGGTAAATCTTACCACTCTTTACACAAGTGCCATCTTTCTCGCACTTTCTAGCAGAACAAAACATATTCATAATTGGCGATCTACATACGAGTGTGGAAAGCTCCCCATTGATTCAATAAATCTAAAATCTGATTTCAGGGTGATGCAGGATCTCAGGGTATGACTGGGCCAAGAGGTCCTCATGGAGATGGATTGCCTGGATCCAAGGTGATGTTTAAAAAACAAAACAATTTATTGATATCTTATTAACCGGCCTCTGATTGACAGATTGCTCTCAAATGTTGCAGGGTGATCGTGGATCACAGGGTGAGAGGGGCACGAAGGGTACAAAAGGAGAATTGGGAGATGAAGGAGTCCCTGGTGAACTAGTAAGAAAAAACTATATTTTCCTCACAAATAAATAATGAAACCACGATTTGTAATTCTTATTACCCTATGTACTGGGCCAAAATATGAATGTAATGTTTCAATTTTTCACCAACCCAGGGAAAGCCTGGAGTTAAAGGAGACCAAGGACTCACAGTAAGTTCATCAACAAACGTTTGAAAAATTCACTGAATAATAGGGATTTTATACTTATATAATATGTTCAAATTCTTTTCAGAGAGAAGACATTTTGAAGCTGATCAAAGAAATCTGCGGTAAGACTACAAGTCTAGGCTACTGTTATAACCATTAACTGGTATTTATTTAAAATGTGTATTTTCTGTCAATTCTTTGGTTCAGATTCTGAAGGCATCATTTTCTATACAGTAAGCTGTAAAATGTTTTATAGCTGTAATGATTGATGGCCGCTTAAAAACCTTAACATTTAAAGGTCACCTATTATGCTAAATCTACTTTTTCATGTATTTTATACATAACTCTGTCCCCTCTGTATTAAGAGATTCGGAAAGTTTCAGGAAAAATATTCTCTTTTTTTGTCCTGATCCATTTATATAAAAACCTGTCTGAAAATTAGCTGATCAGATTTTGGCCACTTTGTGATGTCTCAATGTTTTTGGGGGTTGTGTAACCATTAGCCAATAACCAACCAAGGTACCACCCGCCCACCTTATCACCTGCATCTCCTCCTTGAGCACCATTGTGTTTTATTAAACCAAACATCTCGCAGAGGGGCGTGGCCAGCAGCAGCTACTTTGCATTTAAAGCTACGGACACAGAATCAGCACTTTTGAAACAGGGCTGAAACAGAGGGGTTTATGGAATGCTACAATTAATGATATGTTTGGTATTTGAGCCAAACACTTCAGAGACATGCTTTGTATATAACTGAGACCTATAATATATTGTTGAAAAAGAGTATAATAGGGGACCTTTAAAATGCATATTGCAAACATGTCAGCAAATAGTTTACCCATTTACACATCCAACAGACGTGGAGAAACATTCATATTAATTTGTTCAATATTTACTCTTCTTTTAGCTCTGTTTTGGTCTATACCAACTCTGTACCGACACAGTTAGCTTTAGCCGCTAACTGTGTCTTCCTGGTGTTTGGAGCGACAATTGTCATTGTGGTTTTAGAGCTTTTTCAGTGAAAATAGGAGGGAAAGTAAACCAAAACATTAAAGTTGTTCATCAAAAAATCGAAATAATGACCTGAAAGACGCTAAGAGACTCCATTGAGTATTGTGATGATTCTCTGTGAGTTCATCATTGCGAGCAAACCCTTTCATAGGACCACAGTGACAGTATTCTATTGTTTTCAGGATGTGGCATCAAGTGCAAGGAAAGGCCGATGGAGTTGGTGTTCGTCATCGACAGCTCGGAGAGTGTCGGCCCCGAGAACTTTGAAATCATTAAGGACTTTGTCACCAGGTTGGTCGACCGGACCACAGTCGGACGCAATGCCACCAGGATCGGACTGGTCCTTTACAGTCTGGATGTTCATTTGGAGTTCAACTTGGTTCGCTACATGAGCAAACAGGAAGTTAAACAGGCCATCAGAAAGATCTCTTACATGGGTGAGGGCACCTACACTGGCACCGCCATCAGAAAGGCGACTCAGGAGGCGTTCTTCAGCGCTCGGCCTGGAGTCAGGAAAGTAGCCATCGTCATCACCGATGGTCAAACTGACAACCGAGAGCCAGTCAAACTTGACATAGCTGTGAGGGAAGCTCACGCCACAAACATCGAGATGTACGCCCTGGGGATCGTCAACTCTTCTGATCCCACGCAGGCTGAGTTCCTGCAAGAACTCAACCTCATTGCCTCTGACCCCGACAGCGAACACATGTACCTTATTGATGACTTCAACACTCTACCAGGTGATCGCCACAGTCAGATGTTGTAAATATCATTCCTTTAGCAATGTGTTCATTCAAATATAGCTATAATTGTTTTCAGCTGAGAGGCAGTAAAGTGCTTTATGGTTAAACAGATTTTTTCTTTTCCAGCACTGGAGTCTAAACTCGTCAGCCAGTTCTGTGAAGATGAAAATGGCGCCCTCATTTACAATCGTTTAACAAATGGAAACTGGAACAATGGCCATGGGCATGGTACTAATGGAAACAATGGCCATGGTACTAATGGACATGTAGTGAACAACAATGGATATAATGGCAATAATGGTTACGTTGTATATAATAATGGATATGGAGACACTGGAAAAGCTAAAGATAACCAAGAGGAGAATCCAAGTTCGGGGCGCACCAGCAGCCGAGGCCGTGGAGACACCTTCGCGCTGCCCATCAGCGCTGATCCCCTCCCAATCCAGGTTTGAAAACTCACACTGGATTGTTTTAAATTAAAGTATACTTGTTGACATTTTCTTCACTGATGGTGCACCATTCACAACACTGACATGTTTTAATGCTGTCCTCTAACTCCAGGAGCTGGAAGATGATGAAGGTGAAGATTTAGACTACAGAGCCCAGACGCGGGGCGCTAACACGGTAGCAACCGTAGCTGTAGTTAACAAAACAACATCTTTATCGCCTGTAAGAGAAAGCTCCGACTTCAATGAGGCCGTCATATCATCTTCTTCATCCTTATCTTCTTCTGCAACATCTGAGTCAACACTGATCTCAACTTTAGATTTAAGCTCTGACCAGTTGCAGCCAGTGGTGAGTCCAGTCCTGCCTGAAGGTGAGTACTGCAGCCTGCTCAACATCACCTTGACGTTTAACTGACGGAAAGTACAGATGTTTATAATAAAATAAATGATTACTGAGGGTCCTGGAATGGTGCATGCCGGCTCACTGTCATGGCTTACTTGGAAACTTGGATAGAACAAAGCTATTATTGATGTTATTTAACACCTGTGCTTTTCCTACTATAACAAGCCAAAACAGCTGCTGTGAAAAAGGCCTATTTGTTTTTATGTACATACATTTTTGGGGGAAAATGTGCTTCTCACACACCATTTCTCCTCCAGAGGCCCCTGCTCAGGACCCTCGCTGTAACCTAACCTTAGAACAAGGCACCTGCAGAGACTACACCATATACTGGTACTATGACATGCAGGCCAATGCCTGCGCACAGTTCTGGTACGGAGGCTGCGGTGGAAATGACAACCGTTATGAAACAGAAGATGAATGCAAGAAGACTTGCGTTCTAAACAAAACAGGTAACTTTTATTTTATTTTATAACAGACAACATTTTGCCTTCTATTTTTCATTATCTGAATATTGTTGTCTTATCCCCAGCAGGATAATAGGAGAAGCCATCAGAAATCAGACTTGATTACTTTACTGTTTGTTATTTTAATGTGATGAATTCTGTCAGTTGGGTTCAGAAAATAATTTCATGCACTTTTTGTAACACTTTTGTCTCCACACACAAATGCATATAACAAATAAAATAGCAAGACAGAATTAAAAAGCCAATTGAATCAAATCCTAAAATAACTTTTGACATGTTGCTGTTTCAAACCAAAGATAACTGACTGACTTCACTAAGATTCACTTCTACAAAACTTTATTACCTCAAATGATATTGTTCTCTACAAACCGGAATGAATCCTTTATTTAGGGTTTGTCTGTCCTGGTTTTATTTAACAACCTACATTCATTTTGTTATCATTTAGAAATGTACCTTTAGATCATTCTTATACCTCTATGAGCCACTTGCTTTACGTTGTGTTTATATTATTTACCAGAAAACGCTGAGTACTTGTGTGTGTGTTCTTTTTGTTGTTGTTACAATCTTCTCGTTCGAGTTTTAACCGGCAGCTGTAACAGACGGCCATTTCTGTCTACTGCAATCGTCATCTTGTGATGAAGATTGAGGATTTCTGCACATATCGAATTAAAGGGCAGTTTGTGTGCGTATCTGAATAAATGGGTTATATGTTTTTAATAAAAAAAGTAAAATAATGGTGGTTTGCCTGTGTTGTATCTGTTCATTAGGAAATATAACCATAACCATTACACCTCTAACCAGTAAAGTTACTATAAAAATGACATTTATTTTAATTGTCGGTCCATGTGTTTTTAACATCCTCATTGGAAGGTCTTTATAGCACACCTGCCTTTAATAGAGCACTAATCAGGGGGCCCACTGTGGGGGTGTTATTGGGGTGTTTGCAGGACTTTGGAGCATACCACTTTTCAGTCACGTGGGGGGAAGCTGGATCAGCATACTATTATATGATTGGTATGTTCCACAAAGCAAAGGCTATTTTAAACTTGTGAAAAACAAACATGTCATACCTAAAACATTTTGCACCCCTGTTCTGTAACCAGGGCAGGAAAGGAGAATTCCTTGCCTCTCTTTTAGCATGCTAACTAACTGTCACGGCTTAATGAGACCTCGTTATTGTAATTAATAACACCTGTGCTTTTACTTTGACCAGCCAAAACCTCTGCTGTCTTTTACAAGCTTTTTCAGTGTTGAAAGTTTGTACTGTGTATTTAATGCCAGGACCTTATTTTAATAGTGACATGCATTTGGTGAAGGAGCAAACCTACATTACTATGCTTAGAGTAAATGTAATAAAAAATGGCAACATGATGCTTATTTCTCTCTTCAAAGAAATGTTGTTATACATCGTTTAATTTATCAAAATGAATCCTTTTACTTTCCTGTATGTTATCGATCTTGGTTTCAGTCATTTCACTGAATTGAAAATGTCTACTGAAAAAAGAGGGCAATGATAAATATTTCCTTGTCAAGAAAAGTTTCTTCTTTCAGGCAAAAGTAATAGTGGACAGCAAATTACATTTGCCACAAAATGTATCTACTCTCAAAAGTGCACATCTCTGCCCTACTAACAAGTATTTTAATAGTTTTAACTTCAGATCAATCCTCATAATTTGTAACTTCCTTGAATACAAATGAAGCATTCATGGAATTTATCTCAAACCTTACTGATTCTATTAATTTCTATGAATGAATAGGAATTATTTACAGATGTAATTAGATGAGTCACAGAAGAGACAGACCACAGTGTGTTGGGTACAGTACATCAGCATTTATTCCATGCAGTTGTTTGCTCAGATGTTATTTCTCCCAGATACCCATTGCACTGTACACTGGATAATACAGGAAACGGACAGGATTGGTTGATCGTAATGCCATTCAACAGGAAAGGGAGTTGGAAATAAGATTAACAAAGAAACAGATGTTTGATACATGGGATGAGGCAAAGATGATGTCTACAGTTAGAGACAATTTCACAGAAATTCAGATGTTAGTAACTGGTGCTTTGAATAAAAAGGAGAAGGGATCTTTGCAGAAGCACAGAATCGGCCTCACATGTCTTCAGACTAACGTCTCATTTACCCTGCTGTGACAGTCCACTGACTGCTTTTGGTTGTACTAGAAGTGTCTATGTTGAGATGAAAACACTTTAGGAATGCCTGATGTTGTGAATTATTGATGTAAAGTCTGCTTAATTAATCATAATGTAATTGATGGAAGGTCAAATAATAAAATCAAGCCAATGATATGACGATGCTTTTTGTTCTCCCATACACATACTGTCCTCTTCCCATACCCATTAATTGTGCTTCCTTTAAATAATAATTTTTTTCAGGAGAAATCATAAGTCATGACATTTCTAAAGCTGCCTGAAATTAAAGAACACCTTACCAGTCATTCATAATAAATTAATTCAATAATCATGTAGGCCAGCTACAAAGAAAAAAGATCAAAATTAAATTAAATCTTAACAACAATCACACTTCACAGGATATTGATCGGATTACCCAGTCATTATAATACACTAGGTTATTTCACACTAACGTAAACAGAGTGAAGAAGAGGGTGAAGGAGGCTCAAGGAAAGGCAGCAGCGGGGCCAAGACCTTCCAAAGCTTTTAAAGGTAGGGTAGGTAATTCACTTCAGAAACACTTTTTGTTATATTCCATGGAATGCTCTTAACATCCCGATAGCAATGAATCAATTAAATGCTTTGACAATAAATATATACAAATATTTCATCTGTGGAAGCCGTGGCGCTGTAAAAAAGCTAGACCAATTATCTGCCCCGGGCCGTCTGAAGGAAGGGGCAGATTTTGTTCGGTTGTGTTCTTTCAGATTCTAGCGCACTCGAGCTGGTTTCTCCATTCTTACCTACCCTACCTTTAAGCAACAAAAACAAGGGAATTGATCCATCTGCACAATTTTAGATCCGCCTTGTGCTACTCGCTTCTCATGACTCACAAACTCCTGTCAATACTGATACAACACAGATAAAAGAACTTCCTGCTCGTTTTCTACCAGTCGCGCTGGTCCTAGTGACAGATGAGGACAAATAAAGATTACATTACATTTACAGATGTGTATACAACAGGAGTTACTAACACTGAGATGAGGTTGTTGAAAACCAAGAGCAGCTTTATTGCTCCGGGGCCTCGTCTCTGGCTTTAATTCCTCACTTTATCTCGGCATTCAGCGTACACATGAGCTGATATCTTGACATCTTTAACGTTAAATTCAACCCTGGCTGGCTATTTTTCAAACGCAGAATCCTTAAGGATGACAAACACTCTAATAGGGATAAAAAAATATTTAAAAAAAGCTCTCACAGATGCAGTATCCCTTTTCAGAGGCAAGAATAGTGATATTGCTGGGATTCTACATTTCGGATGGTGGAGGGAACCTTTAAAGGACATTTACAAGTTAGTTTTTAAATGCCGCCATCTAGTGGCTGTTGATATATTGCTCCTGCTCTCAACAACACAAACCCTGAGCATTAAAAGTGAGTTCATAAAAAGGGGACAATTTAAAAACATAGCATCCATACTAAGCTGTTTTATTAAGTATCTAGCCTGCTAGACGCCCCGGACCCTGAGCAAGCACCTTCTTCCTCACCTGAGCGCCAACCTACATTATTGCCGTTTCATCCATGACAGCACAGAAAGCCATTTTTTTTTTACCCTGCTAGAAAAATGGTAAATTGAAACTGCTGCACCTAGGGATTTCAAGAAATGGGATACTGCACCTGGAAAGCAAATTAAACGCTCTACTTCTCTACATTACATTTAACGTCAGCAATAAAAGGTTGAACATCAAGGCTATCTGTAGGACCCTTTTTTAATATTCCTATATGGTCCGTAGTATGTGCCGCTTAAAGAGGATCCCTACACAATATTTGGTCCAGTCCAGTTTCTCACAGTCCTCGAACAATCCTGAGATGAGACTTGAAACTGTAATGTCTAATGGAGAAGGAAAGGGCTGTTTTCATACACACTGAAACCTCCCTAAACATCTCACAACTCCTGATTGATGATGACAATGTCTCGAAGAGGATGAGCAGTGTGAGGAAGAGTTTCTTTTTTTTGTATGGTCTCCTTAACTGTCAGTCTTTGTTGCACTGAGAGCTTGTGCACTTCATGCAGTCCTCTGGCAGCGTTGTGCATTTTTTGCGCGCTGCACAGGCATGCTGGACAGTAGAGAGGAGACCCTGGTGACGGAGGGGACACATGGTTTCTAGGAGTCCGGTTGCTAAGCAGGTTGTTCATGCTGGTGTTTTTATAAGCTCCCCATTCCTCACTCATCATGGTGGGGAGGGGATGGAAGTTGGGGAGGCAGGGTACCAGGGCTCATCATGAAGCAGGTCGATCTTTAGTAAGAGGGGGAGGTCCTTGTTGGTTGGGTATTTCGGATCATCATCATCATCATCATCATACATCATCATCATACGAAGCCCATGCTCAGTTTTCAAAATGTCTTCTTTTTTTTTTATCTGTTCAGATTCAGAGAATTTACAGATTTTCCTTCAAAACTCAGACAAAAATAAATTATGAATGTTCTACTGTACATTATCATTCAAAAGGGGGATCCCTGGATGCTGAGCTAGAGATGAGAGGGAACGTTTTTTTTTTTTTTAATGAAGATAAGGGATGTTCTGAGAGAGATTGCATGGGGCTTTGCTATAAGGAGCTTTGTTTACAATGTCGTCCTCTTATTGCTGTATCTTCTGCGGGGCAGAGTGGGACCCGAGGGCCTCAAGGCATGAAAAAGAAGCTGAAGCCCTAGGGGGGCGGGTTTCACCACGAGGAAGGGGCTTTGTTGTTTCTGATGGTGGCATCGGAGCACTCTGCTTCAGACGTATCACAGTCTGAGTCCCCAAACTGTAGTGGATTCTGGGAGGGAAAGAGGGATTTAGTATCAGGGAATCTTGATTGTTTGATGGCATGGCTACATAGATGGCAAAAGTAAACACATCCTTTACTCAAGTAGAAGTACAGATACTCGTGTTTAAAAATACTCTGGTAAAAGTAGAAGTACTGACTAAACTTCTTTAATCAAGTAAAAGTAAAGAAGTATGGGCTTCGAAATGTACTTAAGTAAAAAGTACCCATAACTACCAACTGTTTTAAAGAGTAACTGACCTTGCTTTATATTAATAGAACAATAATGTCATTGTTAGCTAATGAATGTTTTGATGCTGAACAATGGCAACATAACAACGTTCTCATTGGTCCCTCTTGTTTAGAGAAGACCAGGAAATGATGGATACACGGATCGTGTTCAAATCAATAGGCACGCAATGACTCTAAATAATAATGATCACGCCACCAAACGCAGAATAAAACTAAAGTAACAAACCTGTTTTGAAAATGTAAGAAGTAGAAAGTACAGGTATTTGTGTTCAAAATGTAAGAAGTAAAAGTAAAAAGTTGTCAGAAAAATAAGCAGTGGAGTAAAGTACTGATACCAGAAAGATGTGCTTAAGTACAGTAACGAAGTATTTGTACTCCACTACTTCCCACCTCTGCATGGCTATAATGACAGATTTTGACCACAGCACTGACCTCGTAGCTGTGTTCGTCGGAGCACAGTTTCCCCAGGGAGATCTGGGTCTTCACCCTGCGGACGGCGCACTCCTTGTCGGAGAGGCCGTCTGATTGGGTGGAGATGTCGATGGGGATGTCGGGGGTGTGGGACAGCAGCTCGTCCAGGTGGTCCTCCTGGCTGGCGCTCAGCCTCTCCAGGGGCCCGCTGTGGGAGTGGTCGCTGGTGTTCCCCTCCTCCCCGTCAGACACCGACAGGTTCTCTGAGCTGAAGGTGGAGTAGGACTGGAAGCTGCTCATACAGCGATGAGGCCTGTGAGGCAGCGGAGGAAGAAAACATACATTATTTTAATCCAGTTGTTCCATTTATATACTGGTTTATACATGTTTCATTGTATACAGCAAACTACAGTGATTATATTGGTTATGGTGCTGTATTGGTCTGTTCTTTCTTTTGTTGCAGCATGTCATGTACTGTAACAGCTTTACAACACAGTGAAGGTCAAGGTGGCAGACTTAGCAACCAACTAGATTTTACCTCTGTCTCCGTGGAAACTCCACTTCACTATCAACCTCTCCCTCCTCCTCTTCAGACGACTCATCTCCACCCTGTGAGGGAAGAAATGACAGCTGTTAATCACCTTTCACACACACACACACACACACACACACACACACACACACACACACACACACACACACACACACACACACACACACACACACCACACACACACACACACACACACACACACACACACACACACACACACACACACACACACACACACACACACACACACCACACACACACACACACACACACACACACACACACACACACACACACACACACACACACACACACACACACACACACACACACACACACACACACACACACACACAGCTCTGCTCACCTTCCTGAGGGGTCTGAGGGTCCGGGGAAGGGCGCTGGCCAGGGTGCGAGTGCGTTGGGATGCCTGCTGTTCCTGCGGCTCAGCTTTCTTTGCGGCCTCTCCGTCTGAGGCGGGGTCTTTGCTCTGGGCCCCTAAAGAGGACGCGGAGCCTTCCTGGGTGTTGAGCAGGGAGTAGTGAGGCAGCTCCGGGTGGCTGGCCGCAGGAGGGGTCTCCTGACAGTGTAGGCAGCCGGGGAAGGGGTGGGCCTGGCAGCAGGGGCACAGAGACCCAGCACCAGCACCAGCACCAGCACCAGCAGCGAGGCTGGTGCTGGTGGATGAAGTCCGCTGTCGTGTGTTTGCGTCCACAGCGGTGGATATGAGGTCGGGGCTGCAGCCGGAGACGCGGCGCTGCAGGTGGTCCGTCTGAGGGCTGCGGAGAGGGGCGGCGGGGCCGAAGTAACGAAGGTTGTTGGCACAGTTGACAACGGCCTCCTCGCGGCCCTTCAGGGGGAGAAGAGGCCCCTCGGTGGTTGGGAGGTGGTGGTGGTGGTGATGGAGGAACGGCTGCTCCTGGAGGGACTGGGACTCTTCTAACGCCGTGGTGAGAGGCCTCAGCAGGCCGGGGAACTCGCTGTGGCTGCCCTTGCTGTTGGCGCGGCGATGGCGAGGCTTGCTGCGGTAGCGGGCTTTACCGGGAGGGGTGGAGATCTTGGGGCTGGCGGAGAGAGGCGAGGGGGAGGGGAGGTGGTCCAGGCCCGGGATGCCTTCAGAGCGAAGCAAGTCCGGCCTGAAAGAAAGGCATTTAATTAACATTACATAATGTATCTGAATTTATTTATTTTCCTCATAACTTTATGTCCAATGTGTAAAACTTAAACTTCTGGCTTTACTAGAACCTAATTAAGTAAGTCTGTATTAGTTTATACGAATTGTACAGTGGCGTATTAGAGAGTTTATTTCTCTTATTAGTGACTTTAAAACCCCAGAGAATATTTAGCTTGGAAATTGTTGTTGTTTGTTACCACTTTACAAAAATGTAGTTTTTACACTGAATATTACCCCCTCCCGGCCCTGTAATTCCTTTTTAAACTTCAATGGCCCAATGTCAATTATTTAACAGATCAATTTGTAACTCATCATCTGGATGAACCTGAGAATGCCAATGCTAATCGATGTTTAGCGTCTTTCTTTTCAAATGAGCTGCTCGATTCTCTCCAGTTCATACCGTTTGGTGTTGGGCATCCCAGGTTTGTGGGACATGCTGCTCTTCTTCTTGATGAGCTTCTCGACAGCGTTGGACCTGACGATGGGTCGGACCAGCTGGCGCTTATAGGTTCCGGGATATTTCTTCTCCACTGCCGACTCTCTCCTGCAGGGACGGCAGAATTAGTTTGGAGTTACTTAACAGAGCGCAGCATTCACACACAGTTTCAAGAGTTTAACTAACACTAACATTACTCCACAATTGATCTGAAACCAATACAGATGATCCTACTTTCAGTTTGAATGCAAAAAATAACTTTCTATTTTATTTATTTCTTTGATTGTTTTGGAAAACACAGGACAACATATACAGGAATTGTTCAGAAGAGGGAGAAATCCTCACGGGTGACAAAATGTAACACGGAATTGGCAAAAAAAATCTGAGATTCATTTCCCAAGCAAAAATAAGTAGTTGCTTGAGAAGTGCAGCCAAAATGTGAAAAACATGTAAAAAACACGTCTGAATCAGTGACATCTTTTAAATCACTTCTTAAAACTCTCCTTTTTATTAAAGCTTTTAACTAATGATGACACCACTCTGTTTGACTCAACATCCATGTATTATTTATTTGACCTTCTTTCTTTTCTTGTATGACTGCTGCTATGAAATGCTGTATATTTTATTGGGTGGGTTTGGGGAATTTCTCATGCTTTGTTGCCAACTGAACGGTTTGTTTTAATCCATGTAAAGCACTTTGTGACGTTGTTTTGAAAAGTGCTGTATCAATAAAGTTATACTTATTATTATTATTAATAGTGATGTGAATATTTCGCTGTACTCTGTGTAGTGACAATAAAGGATTCTAATCTAATCTAATAAAACACCCTATTGTTCTAGTGTTACAAACTGACTGAAAATAGTTACTTTTTCTCTATTCTCCTCACTAACTAAATATACAGTACAAACACTTGTAAAGATCTCCATTATTTTATTACTGGAAAAACATTTTATAAGGAGCAAATAATAGTAAGGTCTGATACTGAGGAAGGGAGCAGGACAGCAGTCAATCTAGCTGATGAATACCCTGATGAAGGATTTATTGACATACTTCATGAGTTCCTTCTCGCGGACCTCCAGCTGCAGCATGATGGCGCTGAGCTCCATGTACAGGTTGTTGGCTCGCTCCAGCTTCCTCTCATAGTGCTCCCGGATGTCCAGTGCGTGCCTGAGAGAGTTTAGGAAATGTATAACAATGTTTACTTCCAAACACATTACCAAACTACATCATTAACAAGGAGTATGTCATTAAAATACTTTTGAAACCACAACAAGCTATGGGTTGCCTGCTGCTTCCTCTACCTGTAAATCATGCCTCCTTGTGTCTCTCCTCCCTACACACCTGAGTTCATCCCTCCTGCGTCGGATCAGCTCCTCGTCCAGCCTGTGGATGCAAGTGCCTTCACTTTTGATCTTCTCAAAATGTTTCTTCACTTCCTCCCTCCATTCTGACTGTAATATGGATGAACACATACAAAAGAAAATGAAAATCCACTCTTGCACACATATTCCATGAGACTCAGCACTAAGATAATATAATAGTTATTAGTATAGAGAGAATAGAATAAAAAGATTAATACTATCTATCTTATCTACTGGCTTGTGTACTACTTTATTATTTAAGCACAGGAAACTTGTGTTTGTAAGTGTATGAAGTCCTGTGACAAATACAAAGTGGAGGTTATTGAGTATAGTAGTTTGTAGAGCCGACCTGAGACTTGAAGTAGGTCTCCTGAGGAGCTCCCAGGATATCAGCTGCAGCAATGTCGAGGTGTAGGAGGATCTGACGAAACGAGGGCCTATTCCTGGGCTTGCTTTGCCTAAAATAAGCAAATAACAGGGAGACGATATGTAATTATATGAGAACGGTAAGTAGGCGCCGTTAGCATTTGTCTTAAAGTATAGACGCAGCACCAAACAGAATATACAGTGTTATCCACACGCACCATGTTTGTTTCATGAGGATTTTGAAGCCATCCGGGCAGGTGGAGGGGACAGGAAGGTGGAGACTGTTGCTGCCCACACCCCAAATGATGGCGGAGGAGTCCACGTCTTTGTAGGGAATCTCTCCGGTCAGAAGTTCCCACAACACGACCCCAAATGACCTTCAACAGAAAAGCAAAGAGAGTAAGGCGTCAGTACAGCTCCACATTAATGACATTTCTTCACTGTGTAGTTTTAGTACTTACCAGATGTCTACTTTTTCCGACACAGGCTCATTTCTTATCACTTCTGGGGCCATCCAGGCCACCGTACCCGCAAATGACATCTTTGTACTTTTGTCACTGAGCTCTTTGGACGTTCCAAAGTCAGAGATTTTCACAGTGTCGTTGTATGTGACCAAAACACTGGAAAACAGACACAGACAGAACACTTGTTAGCAAGGTCACAATGTTTAATCTAGAGAACCAAGAAAGACAAAGCTTCTACACGTTTACGGTGGTCCTGTAATAATCTTTATCCTGCTCTAGTAATTATAGAGTTCATATAAAAACATCATATTGAAGCCAAGCAGTGTCAGAGCGACATTAATCCAGGTCACATGAACCTGTGTTAAACCTTTCAGACTCATTTTCTATCCTGTGACACTTCCACTGGTTTTAAAGGGGGTTGACATTCTTTTTGTAGCATTTAAATCCCCAAGCCAAAAAGATGGCTACAGAAGCACAATTGTACATCTGAATCAGCCCATTAGCGAAATGAGACTGACCTTTCCAGCACAGTCAGTAGCCAGCTATCATTCTGCTGACTAATACAGTGTTTGGCACTGCAGCAGTATGATGATATCGATTAGAGGAACAGGGCTACAGTGAGCAGGACACTGTTTCCACTCTTATGTCAAGGAGAGAGGGTTTTATTATTTCTGAGAATAACATTAGTTAACGTCAAGACTCCAGAGAGATGAAAGGATGAATTGTTGTTGCTAATCAACTTGAAGTACCACAGCAGCCATGGGCTATTACATAACAAGAAAACATACTGTACTCCTCTACTGTAGATCATTTTGCAGCTTTACGTACCGACGCATTGACATTTAAATGATATCTATTACTATTCAACACAATTATAAGTGGGGGACCCGCTCAATGTAAAAAATATAAGAACCATTTGCATAGTATTAGAAAACACAGTGATAATTGATAATTTCACATATTTAAAGTACAGAAGTTCATAACCTATAGTTTACCTAAGATTAAGAAAGGATAGGATGTAGTCAGCAAAGATGGATGATTCAATATCCCAGCTCTAACCTAACTGATATTATAGTTTTTACAAAACAAAACAAAATAAAGAACATTAAAACTTATTTTGCCAATGTGTTGTTTTCCTTTGAAACTGTGAACAACATCTAAACTAGGACATGTCTGGCTCTAGTCGGAGTACTGGGGCCGATCACTAACCAGTGAGAAATGTGGCTTTATATTATCGTTATAATTAATATTCTTATTCATTTTGCATCCCTAAAACGAAATACACTTTCATTCTAAAGTACCAGGAAAGGAGGAAACTCACTTGGGAGACTTGAGATCCCTGTGGATGATCTTGTGCAGGTGCAGGTAGTTCATGCCGCTGGCGATGCCCGTGGCCCAGTCCACCAGCATCCTGGGGGTCACCTTCCTGCCGGCCCTCAGCACCTCATACAGCTGGCCCTGAGCACAGTACTCCATGATGATGCAGTAGCAAGGCGCCTGGGTGCACACACCCCTGAGATGGACAAAAAACAGGAACAATGGTTTAAAGACTGATGGATCCTGATAATGACAACATGTTTCAACCTTGCACATTTTTGAATACTATCAGGTAACATGTTGTTATTCCTACTTGAAGCTGATGATATTTGGGTGCTTGAGTTTTCTCAGGGGTTTGATGTCCGTCTCCTTCTGCTCACGCACTTTCTTGATGGCCACCTCCTCAGAGCGGAAATTTCCCAAGAAGACGGCGCCCTGAGCACCGCTGCCCAGCCACTTCAGCTCTGAGATCTCCTCGAATGGAACCTCCCACATGTCTGGAAACAAGAACATGACATTTTGTCAAAATAAAATATGATGCGACAATGTGAACGGTATATGATTGTCAATTGTTTTTCTTTCTCCCCCTTTTTTTCTTCCATACTCTTATTTGCTCTTTAGAGGAATCGTTCGAAACTAAGCTCATTGTCTTCTTGCTGAGAGTTAACTAACAAAGGAACAGTAAATATGAAGCTTCAGCTAGCAGCACAGTTAGCACAGCTTAGCACAAAGGAAATGGGCAGATACAGTTAGACTGGCTTTCAAAGTACAACTTAAGCTCACTAATGAACTACTTGTTTGTTTAATTTAATTAGAAAAATAAAAAGAGTAAAGATTACAATTTTATTTTGGGTTGGGCGTGAACAACATCTTGGCTAAACAGAGCCTTACTTCCTAAAGTCCTTTAAAATAAATCGCCTTTTTTCTTGAGGTTGAACCTAAGTAATTACAAAACGTTCAAATAAGGGACATGTAATTTGGGTTTGCGATGACCACTCATTTGAACACCTCAGAGTTATAGAAAAAGAAAAACACACCCAACATGATTCACACTAAATGTCATATTTCAGGCCAAACCAAGCAAATAAATACAACGCCCTGTGCATAACTGCTATAACTGTCAAACGATGAATCATATACTTTTCCATCCTTGCTATGGGGTTTAGAAAGCAGAGCGGAGGAGAGGCTATGATGCTGAAATCTCCAGCCACATTCGGACATTAGCTAACAAACCACGAGACCCAGCCCAGTTCTGTCTGACCTCGACTCTGTGCGACTCTACCTTAACCATGACCTCGATTTAGACTGACAGCTGACCCGCCTCGCCCACAACGGCAATATGGTGAAGCTGGAGCCGGCTATTCAATTACAGTTTCAGACTACATCAGGAGAAACAGGAGGGAACTAGAGTTTGTTTTTCAGAAGGCTTAAAGGGACATTTGAATTAAACACAGAGAATGACATTTCCTGAATTGAAACGTAAACCCAGAACTCACCTTGCTGTTGTAGCTTGTATTCTGTTGAGTACGTTTTCCCTATGATGTTCCAGACAGGTCGTAGACAGCCGAACAGCCCCTCCAAGAACCCCCCCGAGCCGGGCCCCGCTCTGTGGAAGTGCAGCTTTATGTCATCGGGGTGAGGATGGTGGTGGTGGTGGGTCTCCCCCCCGTCTTCACTGTAGTCTGCTGGACAGTCTAACATCTGCTCCTCCGTCACACTCCCACAGCCGTGCTCACAGGGAGCGTTCGGAGACCCGGCCTCCTCGTGGCTCTGCTCCTGCAGCTGGAGCACGCTGTTGTCAAAGTGTCCGCCCTCGCTCCGGGTCGATTCCACGCTCAAGGCTATGTTCGGGGGAGTTACACCCCCCAGCACCGAGTCCTCGTCCTGAACGGGCGTCTGCAGCGTCTGCAGGGGGACGGGCAGGTGCGTCGGCGGGGCGAGGTCCGTGATAATCTGAGGAGGTAGGTTGAGAGGAGGCGCCTGAGGAGGCTGAGGTTGAGAGTTGGGCGCGTTTGAGTTCTTCATGTTGTCCCCGACCACGGTGAGTTTGAGCTCCTCTTTCAGTTTGCCCACCAGCAGACTGGGGCAGGACGTCCACGAAAGCACCTCGGGGGAGCTACCCATGGTGTCGTGCATGTGCATGGGCTACCCAGGGACAGAGGGCGGGGTGCGTCCTAACACACTGGTTTGTCTGAATGCTGAAAATCACCTGCAGAGTGGACACAAGAACGAGAGGGGGAGGTTATCTACAATAGTACGTCCATGGGAAATGAAATACAGATGATCCATTTGGATGATTGTAGACACCCGTCATACAACATAAACACAAACTGTTGCCATGGGGCCCTATTACTTCCACCAGGAGAAATGAAATCCTCTCATTTCCTCTCATGGGTCTGGGATTGAGAGAGCTTACATTAATGATGAGTATTTTTAACTACGGAGTGCAAACACTGCAGGATGGAGGAGATCAGACATATAAGAAAGGCTTTAAATCAGGGCACACAAGACAGGATTTTTGAATGAAAGACATTACACGGCGGATAAAAATAACGTAATTCTGGGAAACTGTCGGGCTAAACCAATAATAACACACACACACACACACACACACACACAGCACAACACACACACACAACACACACACAACACGACACACACACACACACACAACACACACACGACACACACACACACACCACACAAACACACACACACACACACACACACACCACACACACACACACACACACACACACACCCACACACACACACACACACACACACAGCCACACACACACACAGCACACACACACACACACACACACACACACACACACACACACAACACACACACACACACACCACCCACACACACACACACACACACACACACACACACACACACACACACACACACAATCACACACACACACACACACACACACACACACAATTTTTTCTTTCATCATTAACATTATATCATTGATTAAAAGTCTTGATTTTTATTAGGACAGCTGAGAGCAAAACATCTGACACGCGCACATCCCATTCTCACTGCTTAGTAACCAGCAAGGCCGGCAGGAGCCACCACGGGCCCTTAGCCAGCTGCAGAGCGGAAGTAACATCCAAACCCTCCTACACTGCCTATTAGTGTATGTATTGATATATATTGTGGTACAAACTAAATCATATCCAGACAGGTGAGTCTGTTACTCGCTTGTTAAATGCCTTACAAATGAACATATCATCACAAGAAATTGTCCCACTGATGAAAAATGTTATAAAAATCCATTAATTTGAGCTTTTTTTTAAATTTGCAACTTTGTTTGCAATGGCCAAATACATCAGAGATATTAAAAGGAATAGCTTGTAGTATATGGATATATATCTATTCATATTGTTCTAACCCAGTAGTCACCAAAACCTGAGAACACATATTTCTCAAACATGGCAAATGGGAAATATATATGTACAGCTGTAGAGGATTTAACAGCTTAAAGAATAAACAAGGATAAACAAGGATATTATGGTGCAACACACAAATCCCCTTACCTCCTTTTTCTGAGATGCTAATAACACCTCACAGTCTTCATAAGCAAATGAACATTTCCGGTGTCATAAATGATGAACTTTTTGGATAAAATCTTTCATCTTGATAATGAGGATTTATAGCTCAAATGCGTTTCACTTATTTGAGATGTAGTTAATCAGGAAACGCTTCATTGAGATAAAGAAAAACATATTGCCAAGAGAGGCAGGAGCATAATAAACAACGTTTCAGACATGCAGCGTTTAAGAGTTACAGGAAACACAACTCAGATACCAGCATGAGTGCAGTTCTTTCTCTCCCTTTATCTCCAGGAGGACATGCCCTTAGAAATCCAATCAACTTTGAAGGGACAGTAGGAAACAGAGAGAGCGATATAGGGAGAGGCTGTACAGTGTGTACAGTCGGGAACAGCAGATCAAAGTCCAGGAGGTAGGAGACCGAGAGGCTGTGAGCTGGCTCTGTGTTACGTGGAGGTTTCCTGAAGGGGACACGCCAGCCATGAAGCCCTTTTGAAAACGCACTTTGTTTATGTTGCCGCGAACACTGGCATGAACGCACAGTTCTTCCTTTGGGCGTAGGTCAAAGTACAAAAAGTAGACCCCATGGATACAGATAACTTTGCTGCTGAAATGCTGCAAAGCTTTGACCTCAAGCCTGCAATCCACAGTCCAACATGTGTGTGTGTTTAATAATGCATTTGGCATTTTGCCCTTTGGGAAACCATAATAACAGAAAAGATGGGGAAGGAGAAGGGGGATTAAAAATCCTTGACAGGAGATGCTCTCAGTTACATGATATGTGTCCTAGACCTTTGCTCCGAGCAGATGCCGCTTACATGTCTGTGTGAATGCATGTACTGTATCTGTGTGTATCTATCGGGGGGGTAACCTGAGCGCTGTGAGAGTGTAGTGGCTGCCAGAAGCTCATCTATAATGCAGGGCCGTCTCTAAGCAGGTTGCTGAGAGTGCAGGGGAAGGAGAGAATGCTCTCTCAGGTATCCAATAAATCCGTCCCTTCCACAGCCAAGACAATCGAGCTGTGCGAGTAGGGGCCCGCGCTGTAATTCCACCCCATGGACAATTCTCGGAGCTGGGCTTCTGACGTGGGCCCCGGCGGGTGGATGTGGTCGGCTGGACAAAAACCCTCAAGCACTGTAACCCCTATAACCCGGCTAAAACTGCACCATTTTCTTGTAAAACATAACTACAGGGCACAGTCTGACATAAAACCTGATGCATTTGTGCCTCTTGTAAGTTTGACCCATGTGTACTCTCCTTCCTCACAGGCTGAATCAGGAGTACGTGCATCTATATCTGATGCCAACAATAGGAAACGGACCTCTCGCTCTCTCCCATTAATCTCTAATGGAAGATCTCCATGTGCATTGAATACCATGAATAATGTTTGGGCGTCAGGGTTTCATTTCCACATTTATTTATTTACAGGACTTTCCGAAAGAGACCGTGACTGGGCAAAAGGACACAATGACCGCTGTTTGTTACATGTTTGCATGGAGTATGCTAGATATAGCTTCAGAGAATGTAACAATGCAGATGGTAAGCAGAATGGATAGAGAGAAGAGGGAGAGAGAGAGAGAGAGAGAGAGAGAGAGAGAGAGAGAGAGAGAGAGAGAGAGAGAGAGAGAGAGAGAGAGAGAGAGAGAGATAGAGAGAGAGAGAGAGAGAGAGAGAGAAATGATCAGGGGCTGATCCTTTAATCCCTCTAGGGCTCTAGAGACAAGCTTGTACAAACACAGACCCTATTCAGCCCTCCCCCTCTATGTATCCTCTAAACACTTCCTTTCATTTCTTCCCTCTCTAAAGGCCACCTAATGTCAACAGCATCACAGCTAGAGCATCCTTAGTGTATGAACACACTTATAGATGTGGCAGAGAAGGAACTCACTGATATTCTGTACTACACCACACTTTATATGAGTGTGTGTTTGTGTGTGTATATGGCAGCTGGCGATACAGTGGGATCAGGTTCAGAGGCCACACGTGCTCGCACCCACACACCCACACACATGCCCGGGGTGTGTCCGGCAGGATCCAATAATCCCACTACTCCCAGCAATCCTCTGGGGAGTGGAGTTTTTTTTTTTTTGAGGCACTCAGCAAATGCCAAAATGGTCGTTTCGATTTTGTTTCTACACACTGTATCTTCACAAAAGCAGTTGGACCTTCCACACTATATTAATGCAGCAACAGACAGACCTTTAACACACACAGAGGGGTGCATTGCATTCATGCTCACACTCACACACAGCAGCAGCAGAGTCCTCTGTGTCTCTATCATCCCGCTCCTCATTAAGGGAAGCCCTGCTGGGCCCCACAGGGGGAACCTCCCCTTAAAGGTGACAGCTGCGCCACCAACAAAGAACCAATTTAGCCGCTATCCCACCTCATCATTCACACGTTACCATGTCAACACAGCATCCATCCTGACCTTCTGCTACCAGTCACACTCAGTCTCATCCAACACTCAGGTTGGGAGAGGCCAAAAAAAACCTGGGGGAGAAGAATAGTGTTGGTTTTAAAGAACATACTGTGTGTTCACCGTTTTCTAAAGTGGAGAGTGAGTGGGTAAACTTTCCCAAATAATATTTTGAGTATCAGAATGTATTTACTTTTCTTTAACAACAATGTACATGTTATAGCTGTCATCCCAAAAGTAGATGGATACACATTTCTGTCTCATACCAACCCCTTTAACAACGAATAAGATAACATTACAGGCATACACAGACATATGACTGCAACACTGAACAAGAGGAAAACACAGATTATGTCGAAGGAAAGATAAATACCTGCTCAAGAACTCCTCGCTTAAAACAAACTGAGAAATAAATTGATGCTGAGAGCAGCATTCGTCTCCGATGAGAGCACCGCAAGTCATCAATAAGTGTATAAAAGTATAATAAAACTGGACGAATGCAAAAGTCTCTTCCCATCAGTAGCTGTGGACTCTCTTTGTGCTGAACGACACATGCGACCGTTATTCTGGGTCACAGTTGAACAGCTGAACTCTGGTATCTGCACTCGTATCTCTTGTCAATCCAGACTATGGACTTTCATGGCCAGTGTTCATCATGTGAGTAACACATGTTATGAAACAGAAATCTGGAAACACGCTGTTCATAGATTTCTTGGTCATACGAGGCAGAAAGAATTAGAACATTTTAGGCAATATGAACATCATCGGAAACACCACTCTGGCCCTGATTTGATAGTCGGATGTGGGCCGATGTCTAAATCAGCTTTCCCTCGCAACCAGGGCCATGAGTCCTGCCAGAGGGGATTGGACAGCCTGCTGTAGGTGGGTGAAAGTAATAATCTGCTGCGGTGGAGGAGGAAAATAAACAAATTCTGGCACAGCGTTCGGGCATCTGCCGTCACACAGCCGACATTTCCCTATAATCCCTGTTTCTTCATCTTCTGATTCCCTATGGTGACTCACCTGAGCTGGTTTAAGTACCTGGTGGTGGCTGGAGGGGGAAACTAGCCACAGAGCAATAATCCCTGCCTGCCTGTTTGGAGTTTACTGGGGTTGCATGGGAAATAAAAGCAAGGTCAAGGCAGCACCTGCTGAGGCAACAACTGGAGGAAATCATCCCCTTGAATATGGCTTTTTTGCTGTGAAGAATGAATTTATCAGAGAGAGGAAGAGGGTCAGGTGGGTGATTGAAACTCACAGTTAACTGACAGGAGGATGAAAACCGAAACAGCTACACCTCTGCTTCTCCTTCTGAAATCCAAAACATCAATGACTGACTGCGTGTTTGTGAATGAGTTTAACAGACCCAGCTAAACAACATGCTGTAGCAGAATAACACGTTCAGGGTTAACAAGACTGTGAATCATTAGCACTCCAAACACACACACAACTCGTGCCTCAAATAGCCTCAGCCAGTACGGGCCAGAATCAGAGAAAATACATAACTGAAGAAAAGAGTGTGCGCCATCGACACGTCACACACTCTCCCTCTGGCTTCATTCTCAGTGAGGCTGCAGCCGGCACTGCATCCAGGACACACAGCCTCCTAAAAAAATCTGCAACTACCAAGCTAACTCGGCTCTATAAAAACTCACAGGGCTTCAATATCGGCCTTTTCAGTCAAGCATGCTCTTTGTTCCAAGCTATTCTTAAAAGAAAAAAGCTTTATGGAGCTCTTTTTACGAGTGCTAAACCAGATCCATCCGGAAAGAGATGATGAATGCAAACAGACAGAAAGGGACGGTGAGGCCAAGGAGACAGTGGAGGGGGAGAATAGCTTAGAGAAAAGTAGAGGAAGAAAAGCACATTAGGGGGACAGAAGATGGAAGGTTATGAATGAGCAAGATAGCGAAGACAATTTCATGGCTGGAAACAGAGAAAGAGTTGAAAATGAAAGAGAGATGAACAAAAAAAAGGGAGAAAGAGAAACTGATTTTCTGCTGCTGTGGTTGCTCGCGGCACGATACTGTACCGAGCACGCTCCAATGGGAAAGACTCCCAGAGCGACAACAAAGGACACAAGAGGAGCCGGCTCCATGTGAACTGGGCCTGTCTGCCTTGCACAGCCAGGAGACAGCAGCACACACACACACACACACTCCACACACAGCACACCAGAGCAGCTGCTGCCACAACAATCCCCCTTGTGCTCCTTTAATAGGGACGGTCTGCCTGGCCCGCCAACAACAAGGAACAGACGCACACAAAAAGTGACACAACAGACAAACACACATATTGCAGGAGGCTGGCTGTGACCGACACCATTTGAATGGCTGCAATATGAAAATACACAAAACTGTACAGCTAAAGATTGAAATGGGGCATGGGAGCTGAACAAGAGGAAGTGGGTGTGTTGAGCTGCATGTCCTGTACTCTAAAGACAGACTCAGCCACAGGAAATCAATACACATTAGTGCTTCTATAGCTCCTCAGTTCATACATCTCATCAATGTTTAAATATGTCATCTTTTAACCCTAGACACTCTAGAAAATAAAGTCCTCATAGATGTGAATATGCCGCCATTATTATAAACGCTCTGTGGAGAATGGATGGATGGAGTTCTCCCCTCCTCCTCCTTTCCTCCGCTCCTCTAAAGCCCGGCTGCCGGCTACTCATCCTGTGCAGTTACATAAACATGCTTAGTAACAGAGGACAGAGGTGGGCACACACAGAGCTTTCATACTGCAGAGTACAATGAAGAGATGGATGAAGATGCAAAGTGGGGTCAAAAGTCAAGGATGATGAAAAAGAAACTGAATCTAGAGAATCTGATTTGTTTATATGCTCATACAGAGATGCCAGTGGGTGTGTGTGCAGGACACGTGTGCCCCAGAAAAAAGTCCGTCGGCACAGCGTCATAATACCTCAGAGTATCATACGGCTGCTCCATCAGGAAGGTGGAGGTTCAGTAAGTCTATACCTTTCCATACATCTCGTCCTGTCCTTCAGAGGGCACAGAGAAGTACTGCATCAAAAAGCAGCAGCAGCAGCAGCAGCATCACCGCTGAGGCTTAAAATAGCTCCTGCACGCACCGACGCACGACCGCTCGACACACTCCTGCAGCACTGAGCAAACACTGACACAGCAGCTGATTCACATACAAAAAGCACACACACACACTTGAATGTGCACACACACACACACACATCAGATAAATGCCATCAAAGAAAACTACATATAAGAACTTAAAAGCCACAGGAGTACCTCCACATCGCACCGCTTCCACGCAGATGTACGGCAAAGACGCAGCATCAGCAGATTACTCACAGCAGACAGAGCTCAGATCCATGGTCCTCTCAAAGCTCCGAGGCAAGGATGGGAAGGGGGGGGAAGAATACCGGGGGGAGAAAAAACTGAACCGATGGTAAAGACGGAGAAAAAACGGCAAGAAAAGCAGGGATAGAGGGAGAGTGGCGGACATTCCTCCAACTCCCGCAGCACCTGCGATGTGAGTGGGTGGGTGGCAGCGTCACCGGGTCGCTGAAGACCTGCTCACGTCACACTTTTTCATGAATGGAGCCGTCTGACGCAGAGAGGACGCGGCTCCAAGAGCAGGGGGGGGAGGGGGAGCAGGAGGGGGTGGAGCTCTCTGTTCAGACTCCGAGAGGAGGAGTAAAGAGAGATGAAGAGGAGAAGAGAAGGAGGGGGGGGGGGGGGTGTATTTCAAAGCAGCACCAGCTGGCAACAGCAGGTTAGGCTGCAGTGGCGTCTCTGTACTGTAAGTAGGACAGACTGTTTCTGCACTAGAGAAAATCCCTTTGTGCAGAATCACTCATCAGTTCCCTCCATGCCAACATCCCATATATGAGTGCACTGTATTCTAACATGGTCTATCCATTTTTCACACTTCACACACACAGTTCAGACCTGCTTCTGTACTCAATGAACTCTGGATATGTGAGTGTAGTCATCACGGTAATATGATTAACCCACCATTTCGATACAGGGTTTAAATGCTCAGCACAACCGCTAAACTAGATGTCAGAAAATCCTATTTGATGGTATGTCTTTGTGTGTGTAGAACATGACCTTATATACCAATAGCAGCTGAATTTGGCTGATTTTGCCAACTTTCTCACGATGTGGAGCACACAAATCTCAATTCAAACCACCGGACAGACGTCTATACACAGGAGGAATGAGAAAGTTCAAGCTTCAGGGCTGAAAGGCTACGACAGCTTAGAAGAAATCTAAAGGGCAGAGCCAGAATGTCAGAAGAACCCTTCGTTTCTCTCTCTCTCCCCCCAAAGGTCATTTAATGTCTCTCACAATGTCCTGCTGAAGTAAATGAACACTTCATTCAGCTTCTTAGCCCATTTGTGTGGGTGTGTAGTGTGTACTGACCTGTCAGGTGGTTTCTGAGCATCTCACAGGTCAGCTGGGGGTGATCTGATCTCAGGTCAGGCTCTATGACCTGCATAAACACACAGAGCGGTCCATATGAGTGTTAGTCTTTTTACAGAGAGAGGATTGGTGTGCTGAACATGTCTTATGCACATACAGTATGGAAAGTAAACAAAGGTATCACCATTTCCAGCTATTTTAGGAAGAGATGAATATATTTAACATATAGGGCTGCTGTGCCTGTCTTTAGTGTAAATATCTGTGTTTGTGAGTGGAGATGGCAGAGATTGAGACTGACATATATCAAGAGAGACTAATTGAGAGGGAGGAAAGGCTCGGGGAACAGATGCTCCCCCCCCCCCCCCTCATCCTCCCGTTAGCGGCCCAAACCTCTGGGGAAGAAATCAAGATTGACGGAAGGGTAGGAATGTAATGATGCATGCTGGGTGGGGGGTTGGGACATTTGGATCAGCTAAATCTCCATTCTCAGGCCACACCCCAGCAGGGGACACTGCCAGAGGAGGAGCTCCGGTGTCCCGGGGCGAGGCTGAGGGGGAGACTTCCAAACACGGCTGTTAAATGGCGTGAAATGACAGCCAAGTGAGTCACGGTGCAGATGGCCGAGAGTTTAACGTGGTTCTGACGTTAGGGAGTGAGGAGCCTATTGTTAGATGTGTTAAACTACAAAGTGCAAAGTACACAATTAATGAACACAATGTCAAGCATTCTTTAGCCCCGAGGAGGACAAGAGTGGCTGTAAGCAGAAATCAGTATTCCTGCCATGTGCCTGAAGACACACTCCTGTAAAAAAACACAGCATGGGAATTCCCAAAAATACAGCTCTAGTTAGACATTGGCAAAGAGAGAGCGCAATATGAGGCCTGGAATTTAAATTCCTGACCTGTTTGCTTAGCAAGAACATCTAGCTCTGCTCTAAAGCTGAAACTCCGAAGGTCAGCAGATCACAAGCCAGCGTGTTCACGTGGAAACAGACAAAGCCTCATTATATTACAAAAACAAGCTTAAAACAACCTCAACTGCCTCAAATATGTATTTTTCATAAGAAAATATAAACTTTTATAGCTTTAAAGCCAAGGCAGTAGGGCTGCTCAATTAATCGTATTTTAATCGCAATTAAGATTTTGGCTTGCAACGATTATGAAAACAACATAATCGAAATAAAACGATTATTTTCTTTATTTTTTTTTAATTATTTTTTTTATTGGTTTTTCAGTTGAATTATATTTAAAATTCAGGGTAATTAACTGTTAAAAACATACTGTTCAAAAAATTGTTTTCAATAAATTGATGTTTTCAAAGTAAATGGATAATCGTTTTTAATAATCGTGATATCAATTATTGACCCAAATAATCGAGATTATGATTTTTGCCATAATCGAGCAGCCCTACAAGGCAGTTATCATAATTTCAGTTTAGATTTTATGGGACTAGGCCAAATAAAACTCAAACATGTTTGTTTTTTGTGCTATGACAAAAACCCAAAATGGTTCACCACAAAAGTTTTGCATAAATAAAAAGCACATATTATGCTATAATATAAAAGAGACCTAAATAAGGTGGATGTCCCCTCATTAATTAACCTTTATATATACAGTCTGTCTCAAACTACACAAACTTTGTTTATCTGACAAACGGTTGGCAGTGGTGTGACATAATCATCAGTTTACTGTTGTGTTTTAATGTGCAGTGTTGTTTCAAAAGATCGGGTCTTCTAAGTTTAATTAAAAGTTTCAAATATCATTGGGGAGCGACACGCAGTGCAGCAGCTGAAATCTGAGCGTATTTACTTTCCACTTTAATTATGGCTTACTCAGGTAGAAACTGCCTTTGCTGTCTGTTGAGAAATGACATTGCAGATTTCTCAAATCAAAAGATACAAAATCTCCATGTTGGGATTACAAAACACTTATTTTTGGATCATGAGTAAACAACAACTCATGGCCTCTCAACACATCTCTGCTGTGCCCACCATCTGCCATGTTTACTTGTGTTGGATCAACATGGAGGAGCCACCGGGCGGACTATTTGAAGTGGTGCTGTGTCGTGTGTCGGTTTGATTCCTATTCTGTTTATTTACAGCCTTCAGGTCAATGTCACTGCTTGTTAAGGAATAGAGGTTTTGAAATACTGATCATCCAACTTTAGCCACTCATGATCAGCCACTCAGAATCCACTTTTATGCGGTAGATGTCAAAGGCTAGACACTGAACCTTTAAGGGATGGAAATCACTTCAAAACACACACTGTTTCTAAGGTTGTTGTAACTCCAAATGTCTTTGTCTAATAGTCAATTATTAAACAGAGAATCAGCAGCAAATCTTCAGATATCTGCTGATAAAATGACTGAAACTATATATTTTCAGTCATTTATTGATAATGTTTAGCTCGGCACAATGTCATAAATATGTGTCAAATATATCATGATTCAGATATATGTTTTACATTATGAGTTCTAAGTTGGTCTTATTATATCCACTACTTGACTAAGAAAAATGTTGAAGACTTTTTAAATCCAAACAATTATGTTACACATTTATATATTCCAAGCCCCTCAATAGAAAGCCAGATCTGAATTAAGGCTATGATCAGGTATTGACGTCCCTTACTCAGTTTTTGTATAAAACATTTTTAAATATGACCAAACTTTTTTTTTTCCAGCGGTGGCCGGAGCCTCCTGTTGAGTCTCCATCAGCGACAGTCAGTCAGTCAGTCAGTCAGTCAGTCAGAGCTTCAGCTGTAAACCACACTGGCTCTGCTCCGTTATACACACTCATTACTATTTCACCAGCAGCGGAACAACAGCACTGACAGCTCCTGTGTCCTCCACATTAATAAGAGAATAAGCACCATCGCAGCTTACAGCGGTTTACCTTTACAATCTGCCATCGCATGCAACCGCCAGGTATACACACATGCTGGCTCACACACAAACACACAATCTCTGAGGAGGACAGGCACATCAATTTGACTTCTTGAGGGGTCTGCTACATTTTTAAAACAAAGTGCAGGTATGTGTCGATCACACTGCGCCCAATACAACTGGTGGAATAAGTTTTGAGATCTCGCTAAATCACCAAAAAATTAATTCAATGGTAAAATAACTCACTCTAAAGAAAAGTAGAGTTCACTTGAGCTGTCAAATGAAATCAACATAAAAGGAATGTATGCTTTACTCACTTGGTCAAAGGATGGGGTTTTTATAATGCGTTGTGCGTCACCTTTATATATTCTTTATCCCTTTATAAATCCAGCTTTAAAATATTTTAATAATAGAATAACTATTTATTTTATTATTACCAATGGTAATCCTATAGCCGGCAGTCGCTCATGTCTTTGGATAAAATGGAGTAATTGGATGGAGAAAGTCAGATGATTCAGGGAAATATGTGAACTAATGAGGATAGATTGGTCCTTAATATGTTAACTTGCGAGAGGATAAACCCGTTTGCCTAAGATGGATAGAGACAGAGCGGCCTGGCTCATTGGTTGGCTTGGTAAAGGCAGGCATGGATGACCGAGTCCTGCACACAACAACCGCTGATTCTGAGAGGCAGATAATGCTTGTGAGATTACTGTGCTGAGCCCACCAACAACCCCACAGCCTGACCAATCCACGCTGAGAGGACATTGCATAACAATGACTGTTCATCACTCCCGCAGGATCCTGCCCGCACCACCACATCCGTCCTTCTCTGTCGTGAGTCCAGAGGAGACTGGCGAACAGATGAGGAGCAGCAGACAGGAAGCCGTCCTCCCTCCCAACGGCACCTGGTAATCCCCAGCATGATTTATGGGATTGCGTGCTGAGCTATAATGCAGAACACAGCAGCTAGTCTTAGATAACATAACATTTTATGAAGTCTCTCCAGCTCTCTTGCTTCTGATTGTTTAACTGAAGAGAATTGGGAGGAAATTAAAACACACTGAGATGTTCGCCTCGTCTTCATCACATATTCCCACATCCCAGGACAGAGGATGTAACAGAGAGTGTGGCTGCAGTGGTAAGATATGACTGTGCAGCTGCTGGGGGGGGGGGGGGGGGGATGCTGCTGCTGCTCGCAGAGGTTAACGAATATGTGAGGTTACATGTACAGAGTGTACATGTGATGGAGGACACTGCAGGGCAGAGCACACAGTGTACATACACTGTGTACAGCTGTATGATTAGCAGACCAAACAAACACATCTTAAGTTCTATTAGGCCATATTACATCTTGAAATGACCTGTGTTGTTCGAAAAAGCTTTACAAATTGGCTGATAAATGACTTAAAATGATTAACTGATTGTCAATATTGTTTCCACGGGCTGATGGAGCATAGTTCCTATTACTTTCTTGTACATTTTGTTCAGCCTTGGGACTGTTATGTTGGAAAAATCAATAAAACATTGTTAAAAACAAACAAAGGTTAGGTTGGCCTACATATAAATAGTTTGCCTCCAGTATGCTTGCTGCTGCTTCAACATTTGCTTTGGTCACATGGTGCACACATACGCCTTGTTATTGATTAGTATAACAAGTATAACTCCTGGACAAATAAAACAGATTACACGAAGATCTATGAGTAACGATGCATCCCTTTTATTCACATATTATTCTATAGATGCACTCAGCAGGGGTCAGAGATACTGCAAACTACACACACACACACCCTGTATGACTTGTGCATGTGCTCTGGTTCTTGCTCCTCCACTCGTGTGTGTTAATATGCTCCCCATGAGGCGCTGCAGGCTGTGGTAATTATAGAAGCTCGGCTAGCAGACGCATCACAACTGAGAAATACATTTAAAGCCATGTGCAGTTGTGGGAATACAGTGCATGCATACGGGCACACAAACAAAAGCCCACAGTACCCAAACATCCTGGATGTTGTATAGAAAATAATCATCTAATTGAAATGCATTTTGGTCAAACTTTCTGATGTAACATTTTGTCTCCTTTGAAGGTTTTTCACAACAAATGTATTTTTTTTTTTTTAATGCATCTCTGGATTCATAACTAAGCCATAACCAGCAGATATAAACCACTGGCCATCCACCATTACTCAAAGAAGTAGCCTGCATAACATTAGCAGAAAAGCATATAGGCACACCCAATTTAGTATTAGGGAAAAACTGTAATACCCCTGCCCAAATATAGAGACAACTCAAACAGATTGACCAGTAGAGGGTCTTTGATGGAGTACCAAATACCCACAAGTCTACAGAACAGAGGGAGAAGCTGCTTACTCTCCTAATCAAGCTGACTGGCGTTAAAGGTAGTCGGGGGTCTGATACAGGTGTGAGGCGTGCCAGGTGGGCTCTGGGGGACAGGCTGGCTCTGTGTGAGGTGCACAGTGGGATGAGGATGGGATGGAGGCAGGAGCTTTACACAGAAATGTCAGTCAGAAGGAGGAAGAGGAGGAGAGGGCCTAAGGGAGGAGAAGAGGGGGTATTAAGATATAGATAAGAGGGGGCGAGGGAGAGAAGGAAGTGGGCATTCATGTTCACTTCCTTTAGTCCAACGTTTATTGTTTGGCTTTTTCCACTCAACTGCACTTGAATGGCTGTGCTGCACGCGATGTGAACATTCAGCACATACACCTTTATGATGCTATTTATAGCCTTCAGGCATGTATTACTGTACGCCACACCCACCTGGCACACAGAATATTTGATTATTTTACTAAGGCTGAGAGATAAATCTTTTATGATGCCATTTCTTTTTTATATGGTCCATATGTTGGGTGAAGGACTGTTTCTAATTAAAAAAATTAGAGTCCATGAACTAAAGGAATTCAATTTACAGGGACATTAAACAGAGAAAGCAGCACATTCTCCCATTTGAGAAGCTGGAACCAGATCATTTGGGGGGTTTTTGACTACAATAACTAGTCAATTAGCACAAATGTTAGTACGAAATATAACTGAGTTGAATTCAATTTCACATTTGAAAAGTGACTCCTATCACATTTAGTGCCACATGTTCTATACTGGGCACTTGACAATTCACTTCATCCAACATTATGGGCCAATCTTTCTAAAAAATTATATAAAAAGAGAAAAGCATTTTGTTTTACTGAAAAAAATGCAAAGATTGACAGGAAAAAAAACTGCAGACAAACGCAGTTGATTTCAGCTATTGATATATAATGATGACATCAAAGTGGTGGAGATGTCAATCAAGCCGTCTGCACACGTCTAAACCGTGGTCCAATCCACCAAAAGTGAAAATCCAGACAGGGTAAATCACTCAAACAACAGTACCGTATATATAGGTTTCAACCGGGACAGCACACCACTGATGACACATACAAAACCGTACAATGTTAAATGTGCTTTAATCTTATGAAGCACAGCGATGAGTTTATTCATTAAGCCTGATGGGACGGGACACTGACTGAACCCACCACTATATGAATGTGACCCAAAACAAACAAGCCGAGTCTCCGGGGCTAGGATTAGAGGGATCAGACCAGCTGCAAGGCTACCCTGCTGCTGTCGCTACACATGTCAATTACATAAATACAGCTTCCTGTCTCCATGCCAGCATCAGGAGCCCCGCCCTCCCTCCCTGACGCTCGCTGTGACCTGGAACTCGTGAACTCAGATGTGCAGGAACTCTTGATACTTGGTCAAACACAACGTTGCCACGCAACAGCATCACCTCGGTGACCCACTTCTTCCAGAAGAGGGATTTCAGTGTTAAAGGATTTTGGTAATCTATATTTTTCTTTTTGACAACAAATCCAGGACTTTCAAAGCAAGATCCCATCCTGTGTGTTGCACTCATGCTTCAGCTCGATCATATCCTCTGAAGACATTTATGGGAATGGCCCGATATGGGATTTAATCACACAGTGGGATAAGGAAACACTCACAGTAAGTTCACTGGTGGATTGCCATTATCTGGATCATTGTTAACATCCTCACATGAGAGACTTAAAAAGGCTGTTATTATGGTATTATTATTAAAAAAGCTATTATGGTAGCGAAGTGAAAAATAGGGACTGATTTGAAAAATTAAAACAAAAAAAACACAGGAATTATCGCGTAAGGAAAAACAGATTTACACAATCATGCTATTTCTTTGTATTGCCGGGGGACCCTATGATTTATGATGACCTTATTTGAGATCGTTTGTATGTCTCTGGTTTGTGTTTTGACTAAGTCTATTATCAGGCGAATATTGTAAATCGCAATCATCTCGGTCAGGAATATTGAAACATATTTTAAGCCAACATAGACAAGAACTCAGCAGAAATTCATTGTTGCACTTTATTTTTTTACAACAGGCACTTAATATTGCATTTTCTAGGGAACATTTTGAGCGAGAGTACAAATTAGTTGTGCTAGTGAGAATGTTTGGCTCTAGAATAGTGTATGTGGAGCTAAGCAAAACAAATCCTTTAGTGCCCATAGTTAAAAAAGAACAAGTCACCAAGTTTGAAAGTCCATTTTACTATGTCCTCGTGTAAAAAAAAAGTATTTGGTTCATTTGCAGTTGCTCACATTTGCTGTAAAGCCAGTGTTGGGCTACCTGAGAGGTGCAGCCATCAACACGCTGTTAGTGGGGGACCACATTCGGCCCATTGTGTGACCTGTAACTGCACCACACACGGGGGCAGTTACAACAGAGGCCGAGACATTAGTGACACACGTGGACACTAACTGGAAATGTCGCACTCGGCACAATGAGGCTGGAGTGACAGTACACAGCATCCAGCGCTCACACATGTAGCGCCTTCCACTGCTGACTGACTGTCATGTGGGACAGAATGAACTGTTGTGACGCTCAGTCTTCATGAAGGACGGATGGATGATCCTCTCTGATTTGTGTCAGATGGCCGCTGAGAGCTGCTCACAAGGAGCATGCAGGGGGAGATGTTAGCAGTCTACCACAATTTTGAACTATTTCAGTCTAAAACAACACCTGTCCTGCAATAAATTCTACCTTCATAACGTTTTTATTGTACATTTGTTGGGGGGGGGAATGGTTTAAAAAGGAAATTAAGATTCTAATTGTTGGTCTGTTTTTCCTGACAATGATGAGGACAAGAGAGAGACTTGTGTCATGAATGAACAAATCCCAAAAGTTGACATTGACCTTTACACCGATGACTTGCATTATATTGGAAAAATGTTCCTTATAATGGATTGATATCCTCTCCAAATCCACATATCAAATGAATGTTATAAACATGTGAGGTGCAAATCTACTCCTCATTTCATATACATGCAATTACTATATTTTTTAAAGGGCAAGCTTTTACAATGCTATTACTTCTTATTTTTGTAATACAATTGAATATGTTTTAAGGTGTATAATGACTTGTTCAGGATTCAACTCAGGACTTCATAAAGCCAGATTTAAGAATGTCTGATTTGCAATGCAGACACTCAGTATAACATTATACTTAAGTGTTTATAATATTAAATAATACAAGTGGATGGACAACACAAACCTCTCTCATTATGATGCAATACAATCCAACAGCCTCACAAACTAAAGCCTCACTGGTGCATATCCCACCTTCAATCCATGGAGGTGGGATTTACAGCAGGGTTATACACATATCAGTCAGGTGTAACTAACACACTATCAGCTGACTGTTTACATAATCTCAAACGAAATAGCCAACTGTGTGGAGGATCTGTTTTGAATCTTGATTTAGCCACGTAGTCAAAAACATAACAAAAGCAGATTCTGAGTAACATCTTACTAAAAAACAAACACTTCTTCACCACCCACTATAATTTAGCCTCCACTCCTGCAGCAGCCTATAATTTCCTTCTTCTCCAGGCAAGAAAAAACAGGCAAGAAAAGAGTATTGTGTCTGATTCAACAAGATTGTCCACTGAGTGGTTAAAGCGAAAAGAACTCCAACCCTTTAATACTTGCACGACTTTAAAGCTGCTGTTTAACTCCTTGAGATTCTTACTAGTGCTACAATCTTTCTATGTGAACAGCTACGTGTATTATGTGTTGATGTGTGTTTTTTTAAATCGTCTCATAACCAGCAAACAGTTTAAGCGGTATATCGTTGTCGTGATCATTCATTATAGACTCCGCTGACAGCTGCACACTTCGCTTCATTCCACAACAAAACAACATATGTTCTCGTAAAGCTATGGCTATGTGAAGTCACAATTACGATACGTCTTTCCGTAAAAGTCATACAAAATTAAGAATATTACCGTTTAGCTGCGCTGGGCCCGGGTCCCGCAGAGATGTCCGACTGCTGCTGTCTCTCGGTCCATCTATTTGCTCTGGTCTTGTGAGCTTGATACGTCACTTCCGGACACTGGTCCTTCGTACACCTGTAAAGCCCTCCGCGCGTCTTCAAAGATCGTCTACTATACAGATGCGTCCATACTGTTGCAAGTGACACATTATCATAGTAGGTAGACTGTGTACTGTATGTATAATAGGCATTATGTGATCCCACATTTGAACTAATAAAAGACAAACCTACTGTACGTTAGCCTATTAATTGTATTTTAAGTGAATATTTAACATTTACTGTATCACATTTGAGCAGTACTACAAAGATTATGCATATTTATTAGAAGAATAGGGAGGGATGAAACCCTCTTTAATGGTCACACATGCAGAGCACACAGCACACACAGTGAAATTTGGCCTCTGCTTTTAACCCATCCTAGTACAAGGAGTCTAGTACTAGGAGCAGTGGGCAGCTATTGTACAGCGCCCGGGGAGCAATGGGAGTGGGGGGGGGGAGGGGGGTGTCCGGTGCCTTGCTCAAGGGCACCACGGCAGGGCAGGAGGTGAACTGGGACCTCTCCAAGTAGAAGTCCACACTCCATATTTAGGTCTGGTCGGGGACTTGAACCAGCGACCCTACGGCTCCCAGTCCAAGCCCCTACTGACTGAGCCACTGCCGGACTATTAATCAAACTACATGACTGTTATCAAGATAAAATCAGCTCTACATTGACGAGAACTCGTAATAAAATACATCATAACCATGGACAAATTATACAATAAATATATATAAAAACTGAGAGCAGGGCCACATTTGCATGCATTTTTGCTGTTCATAAACATTAAGACATCATAAATATACATTAGGACCTGATTAGGACCCGTCTTATCTTGTACTATTGTGTGCTTTTTGTATTTGTTAGTGTGCATAATGGTTTTCCACATTTGAAAAGAATAATCTTTTCGAACCAAATGTATGCTCATAACTCATCTAATGTCTGTATGACTTTATTGTATAATGTGGTCGTCTAGTGATTCACTGTTGGCAGAGTAACTGCTCTCTTCAGACCCTCTTTGCAGTGTCATGAGATATGAGCGGAGTGGGAGCTCTTCGCTTTTTTTCCTCTTTTACGCTGTGGTTAAAAATAGCTTTTGTATATTTTCAATGGCGCCTCCCCGCCAGGGACAGGAACAATAATACAAATAAAGCCAGTGAAGTTGTTTACAGATAAAAACATGTAACTGTTTAGCAAGATTGCCTAAGGGTACGCAGAGAATAATCTTAACAAGTAAACGTAAACGACTTTAAGCAGATGCATGTCGGAACTTTGCAATCAGTTCACAAGGCTTAGTTACACATTAAAGTCACAGTTCTGTATGTTCAGAGTATTTTCATGCTCTCTGATTGTCTGTCGAAGAAATACTTCATTTATCAAAAGGAGGAAAGTTACCTAGCAGAGGAACGAAGAGGGTGTGAAACCGATACTGCACAGTCTGGCCACCTGTGCCTGAGCCAATGAGCAGCCTCACAACATGCTCCGAAACTACTGCAGACTGCACGCCTGGCAGGTGGAAAAAAACACTGGAAGATAAATAAATGACATGTGCACGAGTTCACTGTGCTGAGATGAATTCAAAAGTGTTCCGTTTTAAGTTAAATAAGCCTACTTGCAGAAGTTGAACGACAAACAGCAAATGCAGGTAAAACACATTCAATTTAGGTTTTTATTTACAATTATTAAGGCTAGAGTGCTTGATTATGTAAGGGTTGCGCTGGAGTTAAAGGCAACACTGATATCTTGACACAGATACATTGAGTAGACTTATTTAGGTATATTAAGGGTGTACAAAACCTCCATTACAAGTGAAACTCCTGCATTTAGTTAAGGAAAGGTATTGGCAGCAAAATATATTTTTAAGAACAGTCTTCAGTATGGCCCCTTTCAGAAGTTACATACCGTAAGTCATTTTATTGCATTATTATTGATGCATTACCTTGTAGGTGGCTTTTTGGTTGAGCTGGACCTTTTTATAGTTCTAGCGTTGGCCATCCAGAACAATACATTATATTATATACACAGTGAGATCATGATTTGCATTTGTATGTTTTGTATGGAAAAAGTAACACCTACAGTAACTTCTACTACATTTAACTTTCAGATACGTTAAGTAAAAAGTACCAGATTTGCCTCAGAAATAATGCAAAAGTATGGAGAAGCATACAATGAAAACAATCATTAAAGTACAACTTCCTCAGAAAGGAGGTATTCATTATCAGTTTACACATACAGTATTACTGCCTAGTGCCTACATAAGCATGAGCAGTAAAGCACAGTGTGTGGGCTAAACATTCAGTGTACTGGCCAATAACATCTGTGCAAATTGTTGAAAATATTCCATAGCAGCATACATTATGGCTTTATCGAGTCTTGTTTCAAGTGCATTCAGTGCAACAGAATAACATTTCAGCATCAACATAAGGCAACATGAAGGAACCCTGTGGATGGAGAGGCACATTTACAGCTACAGCCGCGTTGAACATCAGAACTTCCTGTTGTGCAGCTCTGCAACCAGCCGCAGTGAGTCTCTTTGGTTGGCGCTAAGTCTGGTTTTGCCGCTCACCTCTCGCCACTGAAGAGCGCCATGGCTGCTCACCACCTGAGACGGAGATAATCACAAAACAAAGATATGTTCATTCTATATTCACTTTATGAGGAATCATGACCTGATGTCGGACTGTGCCAAAATCATCAAAATTAAGAGGAACAATACAATAATAATGTTCTCACCATACTGTTGATATCGTCAGTCGTCTGGCTTGCTCTGTCCAGGTGAATGTTAAGGACTGTGATTTCCACCCAGGCATTATCTGTGTTTCTGCAGTCATCCACATAACCCTCAAACACCTGAAACACAGTAAGTGCAAGTCATAGTCGACAACTTCCTCAATGTCAGAGTAAAGAAACAGATGTTTATATAGGTATCATTGATGTATTCATCATCAGACAGGTTTAACCTCTAACAACAGCCATGTTTCCTTGATCAAGGCACTGGCCATTTAAGATGAAAGGAGCCTCAACTTAATGCATCACATTTTCTCGGTAGAAGACTTTGATGTGGTCAGATATCTGACATTTTTGAAGGGAGGTATTCTTGAGTGTGATCATTTATCCATAAGGGTAGGCTGTATAGTATAACCTGTCAGTATAAGGCAATACAGTTTAATTGCACCTTAAATTGCATCCTCCAAAAGGATCCTACAAGTGATCCAACTCCTCTCTTCTTGAAGGTAGGATTTATTACACACTGTTGTATTGGATTACATTGGATTAGGCTAGGTGGACTCAATTCACAAGACAACTGAGTGTTTGTTTCCAAGCAAGCTACACAGTTGGTTTCTCGTGTTGACAGAGTGTGTTGTGTTCGAATACAGAGCTCAGTGTTAGCCAAAATATTTGTAATATCATTACTAAATATTAAGCTGATTTTGACAATACAGATACTTAACCTCTCCCGAGACAACCAGAGTGAGACACATAACAAACAGACTGAACTTAAGTCAAATATGTTGTTTCTTTCAATGTTAAAGGGTTCTCTACATAATGTGACAAGACACTTATACTAACAACAATCCTTCATCCGATTGCTGTCAGTAAACCAACTTACTCTATAAGTCTAACTGAAGTGTTAAACAGACCTTTGTTCCCTCTGATAATTTGGCATTTACTATCTCATACATCTTCTTTCCCATGGTTCTCCTAAGAATCACTGGCAGGTGATCAGCAGATTCAATGGGTCCCTGAAGGTTTGAAACCAAAACAGAACAGTTCATTTATTTAAATAATGCAAAAAGAAAGAAAACAGATTAAGTTAGGAAAGATGGACGCACCCCAGGTAAAGCCAAGGTTCCCTGCTTCTCATCCCAAACCACCACGTAGTCCAAAACAGAGCGCTCGCTGTCTCCCCAGCTAAAAGATGGATTCAAAGTCATAAACAGGCTTTGCAATACAGATGTGGGGAAACAACCTTCTTAACGTACCGTGTCAGCACGAGGTCTAGATTGGGATTTGGACCCAGTTGGCTTAGTGCACCCCGTCCCCTCATGCCAGTCCTCCCTCCTGGATTTCTAACGGCAGATCAGATACACATCACCTATCAACACAAGCTTAAAAGGTTCATGTAAATGCTATTTGATGCCTTGAGTATCCTTGAATATCATACCTGTAATTATTTGAGGCCTCTGATTCTGATCTGCAAAAAGAAAAGGAAACATAAGAGATAGGGAGCATTGTAATTTGTTATATTTTCTATTACTGAGAGATGTTTCAATAGGAACATACTGTACATTGTTATTTTTACAAAAACATCCATACCCACCCCATAACTGTATACACACCTTCCTAATCGGAATAAACATCCCTTATTCTCTTGTAAAGAAATGACATACCCATCCACATGGTCCCCACTTTCTTCAGACGTGTAATAAGACGGCATGTAACAGGTGAAGCTGAACTGAAAAAAAAGTGACAGGAAACAAACTGGCTTCATAAACTATCTTTTACCACAGTGATGTTGGTGATGATGCTGGAGGTGCTGTGGAGAAACGTTTGTGTATTACCTCCCATGGCACTTTCTCTTCAGGCACAGGGAAGCGTGTGAGTTTGCTGTTGGGATAGTAAAACTGACGGGCGTTCACGTGGCACTTGTCCTCTTTCTCTGATGCATACATATCAGTGGACTCTTCTGTTGTGGTCAGTGCTGCAGGGAAAAGGGAATAAAAGTGAGCACGAACAAGAGGAGATTTGTTGTGAAATATGTTAGAAATAATGAAAAATTAAGAAGTTGGTTGCTAACTTGGTGGTTGTGCATCTTTTGCTGTAAAACCCTGACATTTCAGACTTTCCATAATCCACTGCAGGGCTTTGGCGGACTGCATTACCTTATGAGACACAACAGAAATGGGTCAAACACATGTTATGACTGCTTATGCAACCTCAAAGATGACAATTCGAGAGAATATTCCACAAACACACATTAAGAAAGTGTGTCATCTC